TACAGGATTTATATAGCGCCAACAGTTTGCTCAGCGCTTTACAATATAACGGGAGACAATAAACGGGCTTCAATCTCGGAGACATAAAACAAATATGTTCATATCAAGTGTCAGGATACCCATTAACTGCAAACTTGTTCCAGAGTAGTGACCCCCATTAGTAGCTAGCCAGAGTGATGAGAAAAGGTTACACAACCTTACAGCCAGCACCCAGAAAAACAAGGCAGCAAAGATCCAAATGACCCTTTCCCCTTATTTCTATCCTGACAGATTCAGAAAAATTCACTTCTGCAAAGAAAATATCTAATATTTTCAAACTCACAATAAAATAATAATTACAGTGAAGAATTTAGTAAAGATTCTTTAAGATCTAACATTTTAATTTCCCCTTATCCCTACTACAGTTGTGTCCAAAATTATTCAACCCCCACTGAAATTGAGTGTTTTGGCCAGTTTGACATTGCTTTTGATCATTCAGTCATCTTGCTTACATTTACATTAAAGAGGCACTTGTAGGTCAGACAAATATAACATAACAGTTATAATGAAATAACCACAAATGTCTTTTCTGTGCTCACAGCATTATCAGTTTTATTCAACCCCCAAGTGACATTCAATCTTAGTACTTAGTACAGCATCCTTTTACAGTTATAACAGCTTTTAAACGTGAAGCATAGCTTGACACAAGTGTCTTGCAGCGATCTACGGGTATCTTCGCCCATTCTTCATGGGCAAAGGCCTCCAGTTCAGTCACATTCTTAGGCTTGCGCACTGCAACTGCTTTCTTTAAGTCCCACCAGAGGTTCTCAATCGGATTTAAGTCTGGTGACTGCGATGGCCACTCCAAAATGTTCCAGCCTTTCCTCTGCAACCATGCTCTAGTGGACTTGGAGGTATGCTTGGGATCATTGTCCTGTTGAAAGGTCCAACGTCTCCCAAGCCTCAGGTGTGTGACGGACTGCATCACGTTTCCATCCAATATCTCCTGGTACTGAAGAGAATTCATGGTACCTTGCACACGCTGAAGCTTCCCTGTACCTGCAGAAGCAAAACAGCCCCAAAGCATGATTGACCCTCCACCATGCTTCACAGTAGGCAAGGTGTTCTTTTCATCATAGGCCTTGTTCTTCCTCCTCCAAACATAGCGTTGATCCATGGGCCCAAACAGTTCTAATTTTGTTTCATCAGTCCACAGAACACTATCCCACAACTTTTGTGGTTTGTCCACATGGCTTTTGGCATACTGCAGTCGACTCTTCTTATTCTTTGGAGACAGCAAGGGGGTACGCCTGGGAGTTCTGGCACGGAGGCCTTCATTACGCAGTGTGCGTCTTATTGTCTGGGCTGAAACTTCTGTACCCACATCTGACAAATCTTTTCTCAGTTCCTCAGCAGTCACACGGGGACTTCTCTCCACTCTACGCTTCAGGTAGCGCACAGCAGTCGAAGTCAGCATCTTCTTTCTGCCACGACCAGGTAGCGTTTCAACAGTGCCCTTTGCCTTGAATTTGCGAATGATGCTTCCTAAGGTGTCTCTTGGTATGTTTAACATCTTTGCAATCTTCTTATAGCCATTGCCCTTCCTGTGAAGAGAAATCACCTCTTCTCTTGTCTTCCTGGACCATTCTCTTGCCTTCACCATGTTTGTAACCACACCAGTAAAAATGTCTAGAAGGAGCTGAGTATCACAGTCATCATTTTAAAGCTGCCTAATTGGTGCTTATTATGCTTGATTGCTGCTCGGTGACATCCACAGGTGTTTTCAATACCTGATGGAAAGCACCTGTATGAACCTCTGTTCTTCAGAGTGGTAGTCTTTAAGGGGTTGAATAATTGTGGCAATGAAGAAACCACATAAGAACCATTTACTACTGTATTACATAAACAATTGATGTCATTTTAGTTGCATTTGGGTAGTTACAACGTCCTTGTAGGATTTGATTCTGAATACAATTCCAAATGTACACTATATAGTCCCTAAACCCCTTTACAGCATTGGGGGTTGAATAATTTTGGACACAACTGTAGATGTTAGAAGGCTGTTTTTTTCAAGTTAATAAACACATTTTCTAGCAGTGATTTAAAGGTTACCCTTCAATGAAAGCTATAGTGATTTTTTTTGCATTTTTATCTGATATCAGTAGCTTTGAAATAATCAGACTGAAAAGTTATTTGCATATTATTTTATAATTGTTTATCAAAGATAAAACAGAAAAAGACACTCATAGAGGAAAATTTATTTTCTAATATATTTAGACATTTATAGGCCAAATTGTTTTTGCGTCAGTAATGACAGCGAAGATACCTGTGACTACATTGTGCATTAAAGGGTCAGACCACCCAAAACTGCTAATTCAGTTTTGGTAGCTGCCGGAAAAAGGGGTTTTAATGCTTCCTGTTGGGTTTACTATTTAACATTATTGATAATGCAACAGGAGATTCCGATACACTCAAAACATCCAGGTGGAAGAGAATTATAGCAAAGGAATCTCCCCTTTGAAGTGTGAAAAACACATGAGACGCCTGGGGATTATTCAACCCACAATTTCTCTTTGCCAGAGTTAGGCTTCATGCACACTGGGGCTCTTCTAAACATTTATTTTCTGGCAGGAGAAAAGCAGCTGAAAAAGCGCTTGCAAGGTGCGTTTTTTTTTCCAGTACAATAATTTTTATTGAAAATTTCCTCTTACAAAAGATTCATTAAAGGTTTTACCGTTTTGAAAGAAAAAATGCAGTACAAATGCAAATGAAAAGCCCAAGTTGTGTTTTTTTAAATGCGTTTAGGCGCATCAAGGTGCTTGGGTGTTTATTCATTTAATTGGTCAGAATATTAATCTATTCTGGCACGTGTCAGGCGGTATTTCTGCCACAATGCTCCACTCTTGCATTCACAAGCCCTTGCCTCTAAACTCCTGTAAACGCCTATAGTGTGCATGGACACATAGGTTAACATGGACGGGTGCTTAGAGGCTGAAAAAATAAAAACTTCAAACACCTGTAAAAGCAGCAATTTTGAGCTTAAGTGTCCATGAGGCGTAAAGGTACATCAGCCTAGCAAAACAAGATTGCAACTAAATGGAGCAAGAAAACTACATTTCAGATATGGGGTTATTGTATAGTCTATTATGACATGGAGATGGACAGAGGCAGACAATGCTTGTCCAAACCCTAAGATTACACATTAACTAGAGAAAATTAATATATATATAAAAACATAAAGAAACCATACACAGTACATCAATGAGAACAAAACTCAGGAAGCCACGATCAACACCATACATTAGTGTCCTTTTAATGGCAATGATAATATCAATCAAAGCATAAGCAACCCACAGAACTGTAAAGTTGTATTACAGAATGTGTTTATGGTACCTGTGCTGGACTAGCATTGTAACACTCTTCCTTAGTTTCCAAAGACATTAGCTTGTAAATGGTAGTATGAAGAGCATCTAGTACAGGAAGCATTAAAGCAGTGGTACAGTCTCTAATTAAAAAAAAAAAAAAAAAAAAAAAAAAGTCCCACTGCATGTTAATGTCATAATGTGCTAGTATGCACCGCATACTAGCTCATTATGACAGACTTACCTGTAAAGAAGATCCCTCCAGCGGTGTGTTGTCACTACTGACAGGGCTCCTATCTTCATCTGATTTTCCTTCTGATCTGTGTACAGGAGTCACAATCGCAGCAGAGCAGTCTGAATGGACAGCACTTACAAATGTTCGTCTGTCCGGAGAGCAGTTCCCATGCCAAGTGATGTCACTGGCTGCTACAAATGTGAATATCTCCAAAGCAGTGCACGTTTAGGAGATGTTCGCTGAACCTATAGGCAAGCCTAAGTGGAAAAGCAGACTTTACTACCACTTCAATACATTATGCAACAAGCTTTAAGCCATTGTTTTAAAACACACATTCAGGGCCAGTCATTCAGTGCTGAATACATATATTAATGAGAGTTCTGGATATAGCCTTAAACCAGCTTCAACATGGTTTAAACAGTTTAGAAGTTTGATTAAAAAAACACTGAAGCCTGCTAAATATATGCTGGTTAAAACTTCAGCCAGCCCCTTGAGATTGGTGTTCAGCAGGCAGACTGAAGGGTGCTTTAAAAGGGCTTCAAAAAGCTGCTCGAGGTTTGCTGAGTACTTTTTGAGACACTGTAGTGTTTGAGATTTGAGAAGTGCATTGTGTCTACCTTGCAAAAAATACACATACATTATTAAGCAACAGCTCCCAATTTTATTTAAAAGCATATCTGAAACTGATTAACTGTTAGGCAGTCTGTAAGGTGACACCCTTAAAAAGGTTATGTCTGTACCCACAACTCCATTATATGATACTAACAACATAGATACTAAAGTGTAGTAGCGAAGATTTCATCAAGGATGCTGAGCTCTAATCAGTGATGACATACTAAAGAAACATGGCCAGACTAAACCCTTGTATGGGAGATAAATATATGAGGACACCGCCATGTTTGTTAACATAGATAGATTGTAGTTGTCTAAAAAAATATAACAGAATTAGCTATACATAAAATAATAGAATGGCATGAAAAATATATTTTTGCATATATTGAATTAAATTAATCATCTAGTACTTAAGCAATCAAAATGACAGTAAAGCATTTGATTTGGATCACATACTTTATTGTAGATGGCATGATTGGCAACCAAATTTTTCTGAAATGTGAACCATTAAATTAAAAAAAAAAGCTCTGCTCAGGTATTGGATAGCATAATTCTAGAAATCTGAAAAGAGCGCCATGCTTTGAGTAATCTGTCAATATAATAAAGCTCAGAGAAATATCACCGTGGGAAAATAAAAAAAAAAACTCCTCACATAAAAAAAAAATAATAAAGGTGAATAACAATCTTCAGGAGTCACTGAGGTTTGAGTTCTGATACTTTTAAAAACATGCTAGTCCTTGGTCCATCAACTATTACAAGGTGCAGAAGCTTGGTTTTCCTTAAGCATCGCTGAAGTCTTTTGAGGAGAAAAATCACACTCCGAGCTTATTGGCTTGGGTTAGGACTACTTTGAGTACTGGCATAAAGGCAGACGTCTCGCTGAAGTTACTGGTGCTCACTATGTGGGTATGGATGTTGAGTCCCTCTGTGTAGTTGCGTGACTCAATACTTCTGGCAATGCTATGTAAACCTGCAATTATTGCAGGGGATAGCTGTAAAAGAGAAAAACACTGGTTAAATCAGAATTCACACAGAATCAACTTCAGGGACTATACTGGCCAAGCACTGCTAGGAAATGTTTGCATTACTAGTGTGTTGTTCTGTTCACACTGGCTAAAAGGGAGCAGTAAACTGGATAGACAATACAAAACTCTTGTACACAATGACTAAACAATGAAAACACTGCAAGCAAACCACTTTGGACTCGTGTAGTTGTGAATGGTAGCCAATCAGCTTTTAACTTCAGCTTGTTCAGTTAACCGCTTCCCGACCGCCCTATAACAGATATACTGCTACAGGGCGGCAGGAGTGCGCAAAATCACAAATATATGCGTGATTTTGTGTTTCCAGGTAGGTGGCACACACGAGCCGCGTACGTGCCCTACCTGCGCCGGTGATTACCGACCATCTCCGATGAGGAGGAGGACTGCTTTGTTTACTAACAATCCTTCAGCTCGGCCATACTGCTTTGGATGGCTGTGCACAGCACAGACATCCAGAGCAGTATGTTTACAGCAAAGCAAACACATTACCCGCCCCCTAAGTAAAACACTCCCTGCACAATTAACCCTTTGATCGCCCCTCATGTTAACCCCTTCCTGCCCAATGTCAGTGCTTTTTTTTTTTAGCACTAATCACTGTATTGGTGTCACTGGGGATGTCAGTGACACCAAGTCAGTTCCCCCCAGTGTCAGAATGCCCGCCGTAATCCTACTATAAGTCGCTGATCGCCGGCATTACTAGTAAAAATTAAAAAAAAAAAATGAAAAATTCCAGTATCTATACCGCCATTTGTAAATGCTATAACTTTCACGTAAACCAATTTATTTACACGTATTGGGATTTTTTTTAGCAAAGACATAGCAGAATACATTTTGGTGTAAATTTATGACGAAATTTGATTTCTTTAACTTTTTTTTACTGGACATGTTTAACAGCAAAAAGTAAAAAATATTGTTATTTTCTTAAAATTGTCATTTTTTTTTTTATAGCGCAAAGAATAAAAAACTCACAGCCGATCAAATACCACCGAAAGAAAGCTCAATTTGTGGGAAAAAAAGGATGTAAATTTAATTTGGGTGCAGCGTTGCATGACCACGCAATTGTCAGTTAAAATAACGCAGCGCCGTAACGCAAAAAATGGCCTAGTCAGGCAGGGGGGTAAATCCTCTGGAGGGCAAGTGGTTAAGCTTTGACAATAGAACCAGGAAGCAGATTAGTTTCTGTGAAAGCTGCACCAGACTTTGCACCATGCAGTTTATTTCAGGTACTTATATATAGCGTGTTAATTTACGAAGCGCTTTACATTGTACAATATATATATATATATATATATATATATATATATATATATATATAAAAATGTACATTCACATCAGTCCCGAACTCTCAAGGGGCATACAATCTAAGGTCCCTAACTCACATTCATACCAACACATACTATGGACAATTTAGAAAGGATCCAATTAACCTACCAGCATGTCTTTGGAGTGTGGGAGGAAACTGGAAAACCCGGAGGAAACCCACGCAGGTACAGGGAGAACATGCAAAAGTGGTACCATGCTTGGGATTCGAACCAACGACCCTAGTACTGTCAGGCAGAAGTGCTAACCATTTAGCCACTGTGCTGCCCCTCCCTCTATGTGTTTTGCTACACAATTAGACACAAGGCAAAGGGAGTACCATAATCAATTATCAGGTTTAGTAAAATAAATAAATAAATAAATAAAGTTTTTTGAGGAATTCACAGAACCTGGTGCTTATCCCATCTATATAATGAAATGCAGACTTACAGTTTGTTCTCTGAGCTTGTCATACAGAGACTCCAGCCTCTTATTTGCATCATCCAACTTCCTTTTGGTTTGCTGGAAAGGCATATAAATATATTAACACTTGATAGAGGAGTAGGATTCAAGATTGGAATCAATACAACATAAGTTCAGTAGATATTCATGACCTTGGATTCCACTGTGATTTAGACAAAATCTATAAAGGACATGTCAGAAGCTGTAAATGGCTCATAAATCCTTCTGATTAATGTACATGGACATGCACAATACTGGACATTAACATTTAAGTGTTCCATTTAAAACAACAAAGTAAAACATAACCCAACTGTTTCTGAAAATTGTAGTATACACGTGCCATTAATTACAGCAACTATAAGCTTTATTTAGAATGATTAACTATGTATTTATGTTACTAAAGAATGTTACTTAACCTCTTCATGCCGACTTAACACAAATATGCAGCCTCACAGAACTGGGCTTTTTTACATGGGGCCGCATATTTGCATACCTGTCTTTGTGATGGGAGCACGCTCCCAGCACAAAGACCGGGGTGTCACTGAGAGCCTCGGGTCCCATTCTAATGATCGGGACCCGGGACTCCCGATTCCCGATAGCCTCTGATTGGCTATTGCAGTGAACAGTCACTGTACAGCCCGCCCCCCTTGTTTTTTTTTTTTTCCTCTCTCTCTGAATGGAGGAGAGAGATACATTGCATCTCTCTCTCCTCACATAGAGAAAAAACAAAACAACTGTTTATTAAAAAAAAAAAAAAAAAGATAAATAAATATTCAAAAATAAAAGAAAAAAAATAAAGAAAAAATACCTAGATCAAGGTTTGATCTAGTTCAGTGCCAGGGTTAGTGTTTGGGTCAAGGTCAGGGTTTTTTTTTTTTTTTTTAATTGGTATCACTGTCAGTTAGCGTCTGTGTGTATTAGGTGAAAAAAACTAAATGCACAATTGTTTCTGGGCTATAGTGTGGGTACAAACAACAAATAACATACACATATATGGTATCGCTGCAACTGTCAAGAGCTGGAAAATTTATTTTGGGTTGTTCTTTGGTGGTAGGTTATGGTAGTAACAAGACAAACTTAAATTTACAAAAAAAATATTTTGTTACTATTTTGGGCCAGTTTTTCTTTGGTAATAAAAAAAAAAAATCAGGAGATATCCATTACCATTTACCACCAAATGAAAGCCCAATTTGTCCTGAAAAAAAAAAAAAGCGTTATAATTCACCTGGATGTACAAAGTAGTTGTGATGATATGTACAGTTTTACATCACATGTCAACGTTGCAAAATTGTACTTAAGTGTTAAGATTTGTTTTACCTTTAGGCGTAAAGGGGTTAAAGTGATATTAAGTCCTCAATATTTGTAAGCATTTTCAGCAACAGATTTAATAACTGACAATTATGCAATTTCTTTCTCTTTTAATCCTTGCCTAGGTTCCTGTTTAGACTGGTGCTATGGCCACTGCCCCAGGTTTGCAGTTTCAGGGTGGCTCCTTTCTCTTGCAGCTTTCTATGTAGCCACCTTTGCATGCAAAGACTAGAGTTGCATCTCACTACACTGTGTGCATTAACAGAAAACACATAGCCCCATAGACTAGGGTGGCAAGCAACTCCCCCAGTCCCTGCTCCTCCCCTCTTCCTCTAAGATAACAGACTGGCTTGAGACTGCACTGTCCTCTGTTAACTCATTCCTCAAAAGTCTGGAAGTTCAGAGAAGCAGATCTAACAGAGCAGTAGCCAGCATTGTAAGATGAAACCTGTAAATGCTGTGGGTAAGAAATAGTTTACAGGAAAATGTTTATTTTATTGTGCTCAATGTGTTAAGAGATGGCCTGCTGAAACTTATTATAGTTAAGCACTGTATGTATCTAACCCAGACCACACAACAAAATAAAATTTAATTTAAAAAAACGTGACAAAAAAAAAAAAACATTTCTTTATATGGTGGTCACCACAGAATAATAATAATAAAAAAAAAGGACTTTTGCATGGTCACTTCTCAGAGTGTCTTAGCTAATCAGGTCTGGATTTGGATGAAAATAAAAAAACATAGTAGCTGTGAGCACACAGACAGATACCCTTTTGTCAGCCTTAAAATAAATGTCAGGGAATTTTTCAATTTTCTACAATTTGGTGCAATAATCCTTCTCTCCTCCAATCCCACCCTCTGATCCAATGTCACTTACTGGGTCGATGGCAGAGGACAAACATCTTTGGATCAGAGCCTCAAATGTAGTTTTCAAAATAAGATGTTCCTCAGGGATTGGGTTCTTGGTGATCTTTTCAGTGGGGAGGGTATGCATTGTCTAAAAACAAATACAGCATTCATAAAGCACTGCTAAAGTATACCATACAATATACAGTATAATAACACTACTGATAGTATTAGAACTCGATTACCATCAACACCATCATAAGTAACATGAATATCATTATTATAGCTATTACTATAATTAAGAATAAAATCATTGCCAGCCTACAACTATTCGTATTTTTCTACCACTATTTATTTCTAACACACATTTATTTTAATACCATTGCCAATTTAACACTTTTCAAACGTGTTGTCTTTACTGGTATTTGATTGTATTCGTCGGCATTCTAAACTATGCATTAAAATGTTTTATTTTCTATGTTCCATGTTAGCCCTGATAAAGGGGGGAAAGGTACAGCCTTCAAACTGTGTTGGCTTTACAAACAATTTGTAATTGAAATAGGCTTTTATGTGAACTTGAATATTACAGTATGGGGCTTGAATTCTAAATTATAGATCAGTAAACTGTCTAGGGGATTGTGGATGGCTGAATCTACTGTAAGTCTGTTTTGCATTCTTTTTACATTTAGGAAACCTCTGGCCAGGTTTTCACCTCAGAAAATGGTTCCAAATACATAAAGAACATTATCTAGATCCACAAAAAGGTGTAAATAGCGACCGCAGCATCCTGGGTGTGCTCTGTAATTGGTCAATAGGAAAGTGTGCATTTTAAGATGTGGCCCAGAAGTGTAGCCAGAAAGTTGTGGTAGCTATCTGCAGCCAGGTTCTGGAAAACCTGGAACCTAGTGACAAATAACAAATCAAGAGCTCTTTGGAGAGGCAAAAACCTCCCTGGTTTCCTTCAAACATGGATGTGGTGCTGCCTGTTTCCAACAGCTTCACTGCCCACCAGTACTGACACCACTCAGTAAAAATAGCAATATGTGCGATCTACCTTGGATAAAAGCGATTGCTTTTCGGTACATGCTTTTCTTTAAAAGATATCCATTATATTGAAAAATCTATATATGTATGTTGTCTTTTCCTGGGTAAGGAAAATTAAGATAGACATCTACTGCAAGCTAGAAATGGAAATAGTTGGGTATTTACTGCTGTCTGTGAACCCTTTGAGGTTATTTTTCAGTTGTCTGTGCAAGTCAACTGAATTATAATATTATTGGGTATGAGGAATGTTGCGGTACACATGATCACTGGAAAGAGGTTGTGTATGTGTCTAGATTTGTTTTGAGAGCCTACTAATGTCTGGTTACTAGTGCCACCTGGTACAGGAAAAACCACAAAGCAGGAAGCAAGGGGAGAATGTTAAGGCCGTGAGCTCTAACAACAGTATAAACCTGACAGAGGTTCTAATACATCTCAACTATATCTATAACTAAAATGGCAGCAATTTTGACACACCTGCTTTTCTTCCTACATTTGCCATCTTATTTTTGGTTTAATTTTCAAACTCACACTGAAAAAGGAGGAATTTTGACATACCTGTAAATTTTGCATCTTGGCTTACAGAACAGAACATAGAAATGAATTAATTGACCATGTGTTAATTACCTTCAGGTAATTGGGCAACAAGGGTTCCACCCCCCAGTGTCCCGCGCATTAATTTGCCCACTCCATGAGGTTCCAGGTTTGTAAGCAAACAAAAAAGAACACAGAGAAGAGAGGGGAGAGACCCGTGTCCTGTACTGTACCCCAAGATACAAAATTTACAGGTGCATCAAAATTCTTATCTTTTTCATACAGTACAGGATGCAGGAATTAATTCATAGACCATGGGACATACCCAAGCAATAATCGAGGGGTAGTCAATAATATAGCTAAAACGGCAACAACAGACCCACACAGGAAAAAAAAAAAAAAAAAAAAATCAGCAGAGATAAACAACTGTTCATAGTACTAGCACCTTGCTGTTGGAGCAAGCAACAACGAAGACTCAAGATTGGGCTAGTAAGAAACAGGTTGGGAGAAAACATGAAACTGTATTTAGGCAGTGGCTTCGCTCAAAGGAGGAGTATAAATGCTAGGTACTATATAGGCCCAAAAACCTGACCTCAATAAGAGAATGGGCTAAGGCAGAGAAGAAGAGACTAGTTCCCAGAGGACAGGAGCCCTGTAAAAAGGGGGCCATCTGGCAAGACATGGCAGGCAAAGAACAGAAGTTCTTCAAGGACAATAAAGAAGCATCAAGAAAGAAATCAGCTTCTTAGCTAACCTGTCCTCAAGGGGAAGAAGAGCAAAGAATCCAAAGTAAAAGGGTAAAAGTACTGCTGCTGGTGGCAACAACAGCAGGAGGATTCAATCTTATAAGCCAGTGTAAAGCGATTCTAAAGGTTCGTTTTTTTTTGTGTGTGTGTAAATTAGCAAATGTGTCATACTTATCTACTCTGTGTAGTGGTTTTGCACAAAGCAGCCCAGATCCTTCTCTTCTTGGGTCCCCTGCCAGTGCTCCTGGATCCTCCTTTCTGTCAGGTGCCCCCATAGCAAGCAGCTTGGGATGGGGGCACCCGAGCAGGTGTGTTCCCGAGCTGCTGCTCCGTGTGTCGGTTCTCACACGGAGCCGCAGCTTGGCTTCATCCCCTCTCCTCATCAGCTGACTGGCTGTGATTGATCACAGCAGGAGCCAATGGCTCCCACTTGCGGTCTCAGCCAATGAAGAGGCAGAGACTTGGGACAGCCGAGGCTGTCGTGCACATCGCTAAATCGCGATGGACCTCAGGTAAGTATTGAGAGTGCTGGGGGCACTGCTGCACATAGGTTTCTTACCTTCATGCATAAAATGCATGAAGGAAAAAACCTTGAGCCTTTACAACCACTTTAAACACCTATTCACTGAATATTTAAAAGGAGTGAGTACCATCAAAAGAAATAGTAGATTGAGTGTTCAAATGAAAAAAAGGCAGGGTCCACAATGAGGACGGACCATTTGTTTGTTAAATTCAACGTTCATAGGATTAAAGGTTTAAAAGTTGTCAGGAAGGGAAAATAACCTCTCTGAGTTTGGACAATCATCGTATAGGGCCCAACTTGCCAGATCCAGAGAAGAAAGGGCATTCTAGAAAAGGCCCTCTTTTTAAACATATGGGGGCTGCACAGCACGAGGTGCGTCTATCCAAAAATTAGAACATTCTGCATTGTGGTTAAGAAAAATCTTGAGCTGTTCCGCCAGAATGTCCACAACCCCCTTGTGTTGTGCCACAAGTGTGCCAGGCTTTAGACTCAAATTATAGTCAGAGGGAGGCGAGCCAGAAACTTACAGCTGATTCCAGAAGTGACAAAAGCCTCTGGAATAGGTAAAACATAGTGACTCTATTTTTGCCTTAGTCAAACAGGTTGCATGTCTGCAAGGTAGCCCAAGTCGGAGTTGGGAGTGGCGTCAGCGTGTGACCTTACTTCAGAACAAGGGCATCGCTACCATACTTGAGAGGAAAATGGTTTTTCCTCATGTTCTATGGTGGAGTCACTGTTGTTTGTCACACGTGTCCCCAATTCCAACTACCTGTAATCCTTCATTGCCAAGTGGGGGTTGTCCTCTGCACGGTAATCACAGATTGCATATGGATTAAGAGTTTCAGTGTGTCTGGTATGAGGGACTTGCGGCAACCCTGGAGCTAATCAAGTTACTGGCTACGTCTCTTTGCAGAAAATGACAACTGGAAGTGTGCAACTAGGAGTCTTATAAGTACGTCACTAACCGGAAGGGAAAAGCGCTAAAAGTGCAAGTCCCTCCACATCTGTGCCCTGTGCACATTGTGTGCATAGCACCGACAGTCAACATGTGTAAGTCAGGAACTGGTATGTATAGGGGTACAAGGAAACCATGTTTTTACTTGTACACATCACTGATCCTGTCCAGGCTTAAGGCTTTGCCTGTTACATACCCTCAAAGGGGTTTTCAGGGTCTGGGTGCCATAGCAATGGACCACAGCCCTGGACCTATATAGCACTCAGTGACTAACTATACTCGTTGCACTATGTGCCAAGATGAGCAAATGCAGGATCTAGTGTCTGTTAGAAACATTACAAGCTGACCCTATTTTGCTGTGGGGTCCAGGTACAGTTTCCTAGGTGAACTTGAGGCTCACTGATCTGGAAACTGCTAGAAAGCCATGAAGACAGTAAGCAGTCAAATCTTGACAGAAGTGTCAGTCAAATGAGATAAAATAAATCTGGTGAAAAAAAATAGGAAATTCTTCTTATAACTTAAAGACACTAGGAAAAAACTGGAGTCTCACAGACTGGGTGGGGATTTTATGGGGACACCAGGGAGAGATCCATTGAAGCTTTTTTACCAGTTAGTTTAAACAGTGTCCTTTTTCAGACACTGGTCTTATGTATCAAAGTATCCAGAAGAAGACTACATCAAACATAGTTTTTGATTTCCTACAGACTTGGAAAATTAAATAATTTTTATGATTGGCTGATATGGAAATCAATACTCCTTTCAGTCAATTTATTAAACAAATTCAAAAGGACACAAGTTTTTATGCGAAGTAAACATAATGACCTGTATGGTGTTCCCAATTGGTGCACCAGGAGCTCCCTCAGTACTAGGTTTTGAAGGATCAAAGTGCACCCCAGGTTGTCCAGTGGGGGGTGGCACAGCAGAGAAAGTGCTTTGTACTCCTGGTTGGCCACGAGGCATCTGAGAAGGTTGATAGGGAACTGAAGTGTCAGGAACTGGAACTTGCTGCTGAGATCGTGGGTCTGCCAAGGGGTTCATAATGGGAGCTGTTATTGGGGGAAGTGGCATGTAGTTATCCAGAACCTAAGGGGAAAAAAATACAATATATTAACATAAATAGGTTGAGCAAATGGTATTGTAAACTTTCTGCATTTTCTTTTTATGCTGCAGAGCAAACTCTAAGTTCATTTTTTACATGGAGAGCCTACAGAAGCTTTAAAAATAAAAAAAAATTGTGGTACTCTCATCAGAATAATTTTGCACTGTTCCAGATTACTACCAAGCAGATTTTGACTGGCTCGTACTGCCAACACTTGTGCCTGTGATTTCTTTACTCCTATAAGATGTTAGTCTACAAAAAAAATGGAATTTCAGTTTCATATGGAGTAAAATGATCTTAGACATCTACATGCTTACTATATTTCTTAGGAACGTTTGTTGTGAGATCTCTTCACCACAGTTTCTTTCTCTCTTCTAGTCTACCTTGGAGCTACAGTGGATATAAAAAGTCTACACACCCCTGTTAAAATGTCAGGTTTCTGTGATGTAAAAAAATGAGACAAAGATAAATCATTTCAGAACTTTTTCCACCTTTAATGTGACCTATAAACTGTAGCAGCACGGCACATCTTGACTTGGCAATATTTGCCCACTCTTCCTTACAAAAACACTCCAAATTTGTCAGATTGAGAGGGCATCTCCTGTGCACAGCCCTCTTCAGATCACTCCACAGATGTTCGATGGGATTCAGGATGGGATAAACTGTACAACTCAGTTGAAAAACAAACTGATATACTGATATCTTTTGGCAGGAGTAAACATAAAAAGTTAAAATAATGTGGTTGCATAAGTGTGCACAGGGTTTTATAACTGGGGATGTAGCTGTGTTCAGAATTAACCACTTGCCCTCCTGAGGATTTACCCCTCTTCCTGACCAGGCCATTTTTTGTGTTACAGTGCTGTCTTACTTTAACTGACAATTGCGTGGTCAAGCAACGCTGAAATTAAATTTACCCCATTTTTTTTCCCACGAATTGAGCTTTCTTTTGGTGGTATTTGATCGCCTGTGCATTTTTTATTTTTTGCTATAAAAAAAAAAAAAAAAAAAAAAAAAAAAAAAAAAGAAATAAAAGACCTACAATTTAAAAAAAAAATATTTTTTACTTTTTTGCTATTAAACATGTCCAGTAAAAAATTTCAAAAATCTAAATTTTGTCATAAATTTAGGCCAAAATGTATTCTGCTAAAAAAAAAAAAATATCCCAATACATGTAAATTAATTGGTTTCCATGAACGTTATAGCGTTAACAAATGGCGGTATATATACTGGGATTTTTATTTTTACTAGTAATGGCAGCAATCAGCGACTTATAGACGGACTGCGGTGGGCATTCTGACACTGCGGGGAACTGACTTGATGTCACTGACATAACCAGTGACACCAATACAATGATCAGTGCTAATTATTATTATTATACAGGATTTATATTTAGCGCCAACAGTTTGCACAGAGCTTTACAATATAACGGGAGACAATACAGCAACATTACATTTCAATACAAGAGGGATAGGAGGGCCCTGCTCCTTGGAGACTCATACCCAAAAAGACTCAGTGCTGTAATAAAATCAAAAGGTGCTACAATAAAGTATTAGTTTAAGGGTGTGCACACTTATGCAACCATATTATTTTAGTTTTTTATTTTTACTTCCCTCCAACTAAAAGATTTCAGTTTGTTGTTCAACTGAGTTGTACAGTTTATAGGTCACATTGAAGGTGGAAAAAGTTCTGAAATGATTTATCTTTGTCTCATTTTTTTACATCACAGAAACCTGACATTTTAACAGGGGTGTGTAGACTTTTTATATCCACTGTATATGTGTTTCTGCCAACTTTAGAGTGTTAATGTTCCTTCTCTTGTATGCCTCATAAAATCCAATAAGAAAAGTAGGATCCACCTGGTAATGACCAGGAAACTCAAGTTTAAAGATCTTGCCATCAGAATCTCTGAGACACACAAGGTATGAAAAGATGATTAAACTATACAGCAGATGTTACCTCCCATGAAAAAAAGTGCATAGCAGGTTAAGGTAATTCAACAAGTGCTGAACATAAACTGAAACAAGCAGCAGCTGAAGCATAAAACAGAGTCTAAAAGTGTATTTTAGGCAAAATGTACACAATTTGTGTCTTTTATTATTTTAACAGTCATGTTGGATAATCAGTGTTTGCAGCCAATGGCAGTCCCCATATCAAAATTCAATAGCACAGCAAAAAAGATCCCTTTATCATATATTGTTGTTACGTTGATGGGGGTATCTGTTGTCTTTTTTGTTGTTCAACCCGCTGGTAGCGAAAAACAACAAAACTGAATGAAGTATACCAAGCTTTACTGATAAAAACCAAAAAACATACCTTTTTCTTTCCAGTTTTGGTCAGGGCAGGGGGATCATTCCATCCATTCAGTGGCCCTGTAAGAGAATACTATGGTCAGGTTTCAAGGTATGTAAATGACTGTAATGCAGTTTACAGCTGAAATGTTTAGTTGAACCAGCAACCAAATAAAACAACCTGAAAACAAATTTAAATCAGAGGGAAACACCTATTTTTGGCATTAGTTTATTTACATTATAAGGAAGCTGCGGATTTGTGTTTTCAGTACAGGGAGACAGCAGTTTGACAAACCAATGAGATGGTCATTTTGGGCTCTTGTAAACTACATACATGGTGATTCTTCACTACTCCACTGATAAGATTTCACAGCTATGACAACTGTGATTATATTGAAACAGCTGCAGCAAGAATAAGTTTGTGGATGTTGGAAGTGGTCTAATAAAGTAGCACTGCTCTGATTACATCTACTGCCTAGAAGGTGGTCCAGCCACAGGTATAGGCTGGTATAGGATACAGTGGTGCAAGAGATACTATTTAGTGTGCACTTTCACTACAGCATTCAACCCTCTAAAACAGTGGTTCTCAAAATGCCGTGACCCTTTAATACAGTTCCTCATGTTGTGGTGACCCCCAACCATATTATTTACCCAGTAATTATAATTCATGAAGTGTGTGTTTTACCTCCAATACTGCTGCTTTCAACACAGTAGCTGCTTTTAACAGAGTAGCTGCTTTCAACAGCAGCAGCTGCTTTCTACACAGTAGCTGCTCTTTACACATCGGAAATATGTGTTTTCTGATGGTCTTAGGGGACCCCTGTGAAAGGGTCGTTCGACCCCCAAAGGGGTCACGACCCACAGGTTGAGAACCACTGCTCTAAAACCTGGAAAAAATAGCAGCAAACTTAATACATCAGTAATATTTCCCTGTTCTCTCTAAGCTGGCATTCTACTCATAAGTAGTGGACACTGGTGGTCTGAACAACCCTATTTTATATCTATTTTATGAAAGATGCAAGTGGCTTGATCCCCAGTTCTGTGTTCCCAACTGTGGCCACCTCCACTTTGGAGTCTGACTGCTGCATTTGCAAACAACATCAAAGCTTTTGCTGCAAGTTTTAAATTAAAGTTAATATAAAATAAAAATCCATTACAAGGTTTGAATATGGCAAAAAACCTGGCCATGCAGGTGTAGCAATAGAGCTGGTATGTACACAAAACTGAATTATGTGTCTAGGTTTAGGTAGAAGGTTCCTTAAAAATAAACAAAACAAAAAAAAAACAATTTGTTGTATATGGAACCATGTGAACCTTCCTTTACTCTCCATTTACCAATGCAATGTTCACACATTACTGACCCTATATATATAGGCTAATGAGAAAGGGTTTCAGAATTCCAAGGTGGTGCTAAATGCAAGAATGAATATAGAAAGCATTTGGGTTTGAGAGCCCTTGGTGCATTTAAGTGGTAGGTATGTAAAGAGCATTCGTAAGAGTGAATGTATGTCAAAAGTATTATTCTGTGCCTGATTTTAACTTGTTGGCTTTTTACAAGGTGTACTCTAAAAATACTTTTCAAGTAACTGGAGAGACTATTACGACTATGAAAATGCCATGGATTAGTCATGTAATTATATTTTAGCTGCATTATTATGAGTAAAACTGAATAATAGACTGTATTGTAAGGCACATACTGTATAATATTACCATTGTATCCAAATTAATATTTTTGCTGATCAAATTATGGGAAGGGAAATTTGTTAATAAAATGACAGTAGTTATCAATTTGTAGAAAATTAAAATTAACAAGCATTGTAGATCCCTTAAAGTGGACCTCTATCCAAAAAACAAGTAGAGTAATCAAAGGTTAGAAACTGTTGTATTTGTATTGTCATCTGTGTATCTTTTGAGGAGATTTCCCCTCACTTTTTGTTCCAATAACATAAAACAGGAAGAAAAATGTTCCCAAAATAAATGGGAAATCTTATATTGGACAACAGGTTTCTCCACTGGGATATTTCCTGTCAGTTTTTGCAACAGCTATTTTCTTGGTGACAACGGCTGATGGATCAGAAACCCAAATCCTCAGCAATAAAAACCTGACAGGTTACCCTTGCACACAAAAGTTTTTTTTTTTTGGTTTGAGTTCAGCTTCAAGTGGGATCATACCTTTAATTTTAGTTGATTGTACATAGGATGCTAAAAGCTATGAGTGTTAATTTTAGAAGACAATGCAACAAATTTGAGCATTTTAGCAAATGTCTACAAAAGTATTGCTAACTGATTAGTCATTTGCTGTAGCACACTGTTCACCTGGGAGGTAAGTTGGCATATCTTGAGTAACAGCATATTCTGCAGATGAAATGTAAAAATCATTTATATATTATTTTTAACTCTAATACTACTAAACATTTAGAAAGAACATAATGAAAAAAAGACTATGATTTACAATTTAGGCCCAATTGAACTTTCAGTTGAAATCAGGTGAATATACCCCAGGTTCATAAAAACAATAGGTGTTCAAAGTCTTCCAGTTAGTTTTTTTTTTAAGAAAGCAGTAACATCCTGAGTAGAAAGGCCTGTCCCCTGTTAGTATGCTCTCTGTGAGGAAGCAGCAGTCTTTCTTTGCAGATCTCCAACTTCCCCCTTAGTAAGAGAAAGAGATCTCCAATCAACAGAAAGCAAGAGTTTTGCTTATTGCAAACCTGTAAGTTTGAAGCACATAGGGCATGGCAGACCTTTGAAGAGATACAGCGGGTAAAGTATTGCGCACGTCACTATTTTTCTAGGTAAATATATTTCTAAAGCTGCTATTCACAAGAAATTTTCACCAAAAGTCGGTAGCGACCCATGGAATCCATACATACAAAGAAACCAAAGCAAATAAGTTCCAAAATTAAGTTATGTGTAATAAAATGGAATGAAACAGGGAAAAAGTATTGAACACATGAAGAGAGGTGCAAAAAGGCATGGAAAGCCAAGATGCCAGCTGAAATCTATCAGTAATTAGAAAGCAATCCTGCTCTTTGTCAGTGCAAATTAATATCAGCTGGTTCAGTCTCAACTGATGGCCTATAAAAAGGTGTCTCATTACCAAGGTGTCAAACAAGAAACATCTCATGATGGATAAAAGCAGAGAAATCTCTCAAGACCTTTGCAACCTTATTGTTGCAAAACATACTAATGGGCATTGGTTACAGAAGGATTTCTAAACTTCTGAATGTTCCAGTGAGCACTGTTGGGGCCACAATCCAGAAGTGGAAAGAACATCATTTCACCATAAACCGGCCACGACCAGGTGCTCCTCGGAAGATTTCTGACAGAGGAGTGAAAAGAACTATCAGAAGAGTTTTCCAAGAGCCAAGGACCACTTGCGGAGAGCTTCAGAAATACATGGATTTAGCAGGCACAATTGTTTCAAAGAAAACAATAAGTAATGAATTCAACTGCCATGGATTGTATGCATGCTCTCCACGCAAGACTCCATTGCTGAAGAAAAAGCATGTTGAAGCTCCTTTAAAGTTTGCTGCACAACATTTAAACAAGCCTGTGAAATACTTCGAGAATATAGTCTGGTCAGATGAGACCAAAATTGAACTCTTTGGATGCCATAATAAACATCTTGTTTGGTGGTCAAATGGCACTGCACATCACCCCAAAAACGCCATACCAACAGTGAGGTTTGGAGGTGGGAACATCATGGTGTGAGGCTGTTTTTCAACATACGGTACTGGCAAATCTCATATCACTGAAGGAAGGATGAATGGAAAAATGTACCAAGATATTCTTGATAAAAATCTGGTACCATCTACCAGGATGATCAAGATTAAACGAGGGTGGACATTTCAGCAAGACAATGATCCGAAACACAAAGCCAAGGAAACTGTCAGTTGTTTCAAAGAAAGAAAATAAAGCTGCTAAAATGGCCCAGCCAATCATCTGACTTGAATCCCATAGAAAATCTATGGAAAGAACTAAAGATAAAAGTTCATAGAAGAGGCCCACAGAACCTTCAAGATTTGAAGACTATTTGTGTGGAAGAATGGACCAAAATCACACCTGAGCAATGCATGCAACTAGTTTATCCATACAGGAGGCCTCTTGAAGCTATCATTACCAACAAAGGATTTTGGATGAAGCATTAAAAGAATTTCAGTAAGCGTGTTCAATACTTTTTCCCTGTGTCATTCCATTTTATTATACATTGTTATTGTTAAAATTGTTAATTTCTGAACATATTTGTTTTGGTTTCTTTGTATATCTGGATTGCATGGGTTGTTACCGACATGTGGTATACATTTCATGTCAATAGCACCTTTAGAAATATATTTACTGAGAAAAATGGTGACGTGTTTATGACTTATTGAAGCTGTATCACTGCTTCTACACAGAGAGCAAGAGTTCTCATCTGCACTATGCTGGCAGTGGAAAGGCTTTTCTACTCAGGTAGTGGCTGTATTCGAAAGAAAAATAACAAGAGGTTTGCACACGTTCTGGTTTGATGCACCTGGAAAATTTAAACTGAGAGTTCAACAGGGTTTTAAAAAGGACATGTTTTTTACATCACCTGCATTTGTTGCCTTTCAAAGATGATTATATTATGCAGGGTTTGAGGCTTAGGGTCCGGTTTTCAGCAAAGCTGAGAAATGTTAGTCTGTACCTTTCTTTATCTCCACTAGATATCAGCAAACCCCTATAGCAACCTATTGAAAATCAGACACCCAAGCAAAGAATGATACAGGATAATGGGCCATGACCGTTTTTAGATTGGGACAATAAATAACAGACTGGAACCTTAAACTGACAGACTAGAAGAAGAGAGTCATTGAGGTGATTGTTACTTACCCCAGCCAATCACTTCAAACTCCTTAAACAGTCTCCAAAACAAAGGTAAACATAGTTTACCCATCAGACATAGGGGACTAAAAATCCAGTGTAAAAACAGGTAGTGTAATGGGTGCTTATGACATCAAGAAGTGCTGTTTTTAGGTTTTATCTGAAGACGCACATGGTTCTACCAGGGGCAATTACAGGTTATGCAATATCCTATCTTCACGGTTTGGTTTTCAGATCATCAGAAAGAAATTCCAGGAAAACCATGCCTGTGTGAATGTACCACATTCACAATTTCAAACATCATGCTGCATCAGACTTGCATTTAAATTAAGGGCTATGTATATAAAACCTATTTGACTGGTATGCATCTTTCATAGCTATTTGACAATAGTATGTATTTGAAAGTTCTTCCGCATTTAAAAAAAAAAAAAAAAAATGCAAAGCACAGAATTCTAAGCAGCGATAAACACATGCATTTCTGCAGGTCATGTCCTGTTAACATAGCAATACGAGTAAATCCCATGCTCCCACTAAACCCCATTTCATGCTCAGACCTGTTCTCTGGGATGCAGGCAGTTCACTGGCGGCAGGCAGAGTACCTGTAGGTCCAGGAGGAGGCATTGCATAAGGTGCATTGACAGCTGGAGCCCCAGGTCCGCCATGCTGGAAGGATGCTCCAGAAGTATGAAAAGAAGGAGAAGGAGAAGATGACACTTGAGAGGGCTGAGGCTGCACAGGATAGGGGAGCTGAGGAGTAGAGTGAGAAGATGAGCTGTAAGGAGAACTATGGTAGGGAGAAGCAGACTGGATCGAGGCAGGTTGCTGGGGCTGATAGAGAGCTTGTCCCCCACGATTAAAGGAATAGTGCTGTGGCTGAGGATAGGCTACACAGAATAAAAAGGGAAGAAGAAAATCGTATTAGTAAAAAAAATTGTCTGTTCATTGTCAGAATGCATAAAATGCTGATATAACATGAATTTCAAATATACAGAAAATAATTATCAGTAAAGTGGTACTAAAGGCAAAATAAAAATATATATATATATGACAAAATATGATGTAGTCTGTCACCAGCATTAACAAAGCACTCTTTTTCTGAGTCCCCACTGCACCTTAGTCTTTCTACCTATTGATCCTGATGTTATATTTCAGCTTCCTTTAATAGACCAAGCTGTAAAGCAAAAGTGTAGCTAAAGGGTTGAGACAAATCATGTAAAGTGGTTATAAACCCTTACATTTAGCCAGTGAAGGGACTGGCTTCAAGTGATACACAGAGATGAAACAAATCCTCCTACATAAATTATGTCTCTTTATCTGCAGTCTTCTCTTCTCCAGCTATTCAAAGTGCAGAATTTATAAAGCTTGTCTGAGCTTTCTGAAAACGGGGTGGTGAGTTGAAAACACACACTGCAGAGCTCAGTAAGGGGAGCTCTGAGAGCTAACTGGAGGGAAGGGGCACACCTCTCTTCACACAGCATACAAGAACAAAGCTAAGGCTGTCAATCAGAGGCTGTGCTGCAGCTCCATCCACTGTCACCTTTTTTTTTCTCTTGATGTCAGGAGAACTTGTCAGTCCATCTAAATCTATTAGTCCATCTAACACTACCATCTCCAGACAGTGCTGCTGTCCTAGGATGACTCTGTTGCTCTTCCATAGAGAGAGGAGCCACCCTAAGACAAGATGTTTTAAACACATATGTTCACTATTTCACTTGCCAAGAATTTATAATTCTGTTTATATTCTGTCTACATACACATAATATATTGCGTAATAAACTTTGCAGTTGTGCACAAGATGGTTGGTCTAAATTAAAAATCTTTTGGAGGGTAAAACAGAAAATATATGTTTCCAACTGGTTATTTAGTTGGTTGCCTATAATTTTACTTAAAATGGGAACTAAAGTCCCGCTATTAAATTTGCTAGCAGTTAGTTTTTTAACGGAAGAGACATCCAAATGTACACCAAGCAACAGCAATATGATATGGAGCCTCTTTGCTGTTTACATGAGGCTGTTGGGGATGGAAACATGTTTTTTTACACAGAAGGGTTGGATTTCTTTCTACATACTTACCTGTAAAATCCATTTCTTGGAGTACATCACGGGACACAGAGCAGGCTATTCAGGACGATGTGGGTAATATGCCACCTATAGGTGAATGGACAGTTTTTGTAGCAAGCTGTGAAATTCCAGAAAGAGGGGCGGGACCTGTGTGTCCCGTGATGTACTCAAAGAAATATATTTTACAGGTAAGTATGTAGAAAAAATGCAATTTTCTTTATCGTACATCACGGGACACAGAGCAGGCTATTCATGACTATGTGGGAAGTCCTAAAGTAATAAGAACTTTGAGGGGAGGGTGACACATGATAGCCACCACCAACAATCCCTCAAGTCCTACACAGCCCTTCGTAAGATGCTGCGGCCAAAGGCAGATTCCTCTGCAGCTCTGACATTCATCTGGTAAAACCTTGTGAATGTGTGAACCAAAGCCCATGTAGCGGCCTTGCAAATCTGAGCAACTGAAGCCTGATGGCGGATTGGCCAAGATGTCCCCACACTCCTAGTAGATGTGCTTTCACCCTAAAGGGTGGGACCTTACCCTTCAAACCATAGGCTTGAATGATCAACTGTTGGATCCAATGTGCAATAGTCGCCTTGTATGCTGCCTGCCCCTTCCTGGGCCAGTCGGGTAGCACAAAAAGAGGCTCTGACTACCTGCCCAGTGCCGACAATTTCAGGAAGACTTATATAGCGTGTACCACATCCAGAGTATGCAAAGATCTCTCTCTTGCTGACTGAAGCCTGGGAAAGAATGAAGGCAGAACAATGTCCTGATTGAGATGAAAACTAGAAACCACCTTTGGTAAAAAAAAAAAAAGTCGGTTGAGGTTGCAACAACACCTTATCTTGATGCAAAACCAGAAATGGTTCTCTGCAAGAAAAAGCTGCCAACTCGGACACCCTTCTTGCAGATGTGATTGCCACTAGAAACTAAACCTTTTGAGTCAACAGGACCAGTGGAATCTCCCTAATAACCAACAGGCAATTTTGTCTCCAGCCCTGATTGAAGAAACAACAGAATTCTACCAATCACATATTTTCATGGGTGACATTTCCAGACCTCACACCAGGAAATGTAAGCCTTCCAAGTTCTGTAATACATGTTCCTGGATACTACCTTTCTACCCCTCAACATAATGGGGATTATGGAATCTGATAACCCCTGTCCTTCAGGATCTGGGTCTCAATAGCCATGCTGTCAAATTAAGTGACCGTAAAGCTAGGTGCAATATAGGTGCTTGAGCCAGCAGTTCTGGCCGGCAGGGCAGAGACCACGAACCATCCACTGCCAATTTTACTATGTCTGCGTACCAGGCCCTCCTGGGCCAGGCCAGGGAATCAATCACCTGAACTGATTCCACCCAAATCCTGTGTAAGAGACGTGGCAGTTGAATCGAAGGAAAAGCATAACTCAGGTTCCAAGGAATTACTAAGGCATTTACCCCTGCCGCACGAGGACACAAAATGGTCAACCTTGTTGTTGAACCTGGATGCCAAAAGAATCTTCGTCTGGGTAACCCCATCACTGGCAGATTGTTGTGAAAACCTTGGGATACAAAGCCCATTCCCCTGGAACCAATTGTCAGTGACTGAGATAACCCATATGCAATTATCTACCCCCAGATTGAACACTGCAGACAAACTTGGACCATATCTCTCTGTCCAGGTCAGAATGTAATTCACCTCCTCCCGAGCCCTTTGGCTCCTGGTACCGCCCTGGTGGTTGATATATGCCATTGCTGTGACATTGTCAGACTGAATCCTTACTGGTCAACCCGGAAAGTCTGGATGTTCAATAACTCAGAGCGAGCCTCACAGGCCGGAACTGCAGGACATTGATGGGTAGAACCCTCTCCTGTGGAAGCCATGTCCCCTGAACTGTGGCATTCTCCAGGACAGCCCCCTAACCTGAGATGCTGGCATTGGTGGTTACCAATTTCCACACTACTGGCCAAAAGGATCTTCCACTTTCCAAATTCTGAGTCATCAGCTTTCAATTCAAGCTTTGCAGTACCTCAGGAGACAGAGACATACGGTAATACAGAGGTGGAAACCTTCTTGTTCCAAACAGAATGTTCCTTTGCAGCAGTCTGGAGTGGAATAGAGCATAAGGAATTGCCTCGAAAGAGGACACTATCTTCCTCAGAACCCTCATGCAAAGGAGAATTGAAGGATATTTGCCCTTAAACTGCAAACCTCATTCCTCAGGGCGCAACGTTTCCCTGGAGGAAGAAATACCTTTGCCTGAACCATCCCCAAATACACCAGGCTCTGTACTGGCTCCAGGGCTGACTTCTTGAAGTTAAGCACTAGCCCAGCTGTTCCAGGATCTGCATCATTAAAAAACCACATCATGCTTTAGAACTGGCACCGACCGACCTCTGAGCAACAGATCATCTAGATAACCTAAGACCGATACCCCCCGAATTCTGAGCAGCCCTAACACCAGAGCAAGAATTCTTGTGAAAGCTTTAGGAGCTTTGGCTAGCCCAAACAGTAGTGCTATGAACTGGAAATGCTGAGCCCCTACTACAAATTGCAGACATTTTGGTGAGTAATGATTATTGACACATGTCCTTGATGTCTACGGATGCTAAATAAATCTCCTTCCTGTAAAAAGACCACTACTGACCGAACGGATTCCATACGGATTCCATACGAAAAGACAGAACATTTAGAAAACGATTCAGACCCTTGGGATCCAAAATGGGCCTTACATCCCCATTTGGCTTTGGGACTGTGAATAGGTTTGAATAAAACCCCTGAAACTTTTCATCTGCTGGAACCTCCGTGATCCCCCCGAGACAACAGGCGATCAAGTGCCTGTAATAAAGCTCTTCTTTTCTCTGGATTCATCGGTACATTTGACTTTAGAAACCAAGGAGGCTTGAAAATCCGAAATTCTAGTCTGTACCCCAGACACAGTGGAAATGACCCACTTGTCTTGGATTAGAGCTCTCCAGGCAGCAAGAAAATTCAAAAGCATTCTCCCCCCACCCGGATGAGTGGGGGAGTCCCTTCATAAGGAGGAGGACTTTGGATCTGCCATGGCTGACTTTTGCACCCAGGGCCTCCCTGGGTTCTGATTCTGAGTTTTACCCCTAGAGTCTGGGGCCTGTGTGTGGCAAAATGGCTGCCTGGTAGATGAGGGGCTAGGAACCAAAGCCTGACCCCTTGGATGTCTTTTTAAAGGGTAGAAGACAACTCTTTCCTTCTGAAATCTTTTGGATATATTTGTCCAAATCCTCCCCAAATAGTCGCTCTCCATGGAAGGGAAAACCTGCCAACAATTTTTTGCATGACAGTTCAGCTGACAGAAGCTTTAGCAGACACTGCGTGACAAAATGGTCAAGTGAGAAATTTGCTGAATTAAATCCTTCAGAGCATCAACCGCAAAACAAAGCACGTGGAACATCCTGCAAATCCTCAGCCGAATAATCCCCCAGCAGTCTTCCAAGAAGTCATTTGACATGGACAGGAAAGACTCTGGCAAATATCAATAGCTGCCTCTGCTGGCTGTGTAGCAGAACCTACCAGGGAGAAGGAGGCCTTAAGGAGAGACTCCAGCTTTTTATCTGCTGGATCCTTGAAGACCTGGACATTATCCACATGACATGTTAAAGACTTATTCAGGGATGAAACAGCCGCATTTACTACAGGCAAACCCTATTTCTTAACAAACTTCTCTTCCATCGGTTATAAAAAAAGAAAACCTCTTTGGTGGAATAAAAACCCTGTCTGGGTGATCCCAGTCAGCATACAATATCTGCTCCAGAAGAGGATGCCCTGGAAAGGCCTGAGGACTCTGTGCCCAGAGAAGAATAAGTAATCTCAGAGGTTTCTATTGGAGGTAGCCTGAACCAAGATTGTACCATATCAGTGAGGTCCTGGACTAAACCTCTGATAATGGGAGACAGAGACCACCTGCTTCTCTTTAGGCTGTGACCCCCTCAGACAGAGACTCTACTGCCTGAACTTTCTCTAGTTCTCTCTCATCCTCAGATTCTACCCATTCCTGCTCGGTGGTTCTAGTGACGGAGATCTCTCCCGCTTCTTAGTCCTCTGAGAAAGACGCATTCATCACTACAAATGTATCCTCTAAACCTGCTAAGACTGAAGCAAGATTATCTTTGGCTACATATGCCGAGGCAGACGCCCCAGTAGTAGCCACAATGCCAGATAAACGCAGTGGCTCAGACTGCCCAGTCGCTTCTGGCCTCTCAGGAGAGGATATTACAGTGGACATCCGGCTAGGTACCTCAGGACCTGGTGACGGTACATTAGTGCCTCTTCCTGTGGTGCTTCCCCCACTCCACTCTCTGGAAGACTTCACTTCACTTAGTGTTAAATCTGTACAACTTCCAATAGTAAATACAGACCACAAGATACAGATATGCAATTAGTTTTCTGACAAAAAACACTCAATGCAAATGGCTGACCTTATGGGCCACCAAAGGCAGCCTCCTGACTGACTGGACAATACTCCTTCCCCCTCAGGGGAGTACTCATGTGCCCTACCGAATAGCCTGCTCTGTGTATCAGCCCAGGAATCAACCAGCAGCAGCCCAAGTGTGCCCAGGCCCCTGGATGAATAAACATGGCCGAATTGCGTTTCTGGTGCGCCCACGGCCACATTTTTTTTTTTTTTAAATGCTCCCTCTAGTGGTCCACCCAGAACAGGCAGGCATAAATTTTTCTGTGGGATAAATGTTATGAGTAAAGTTCCGCTTTACCACTTGATTGTTAAACAGCGCTGTCCATGCTGCTACTCTACATGTTAAGATGTATATGTCTCTGTATTAAGCTAATGTTCAATACAGTTTCCTTACTTCAATTTACAAAAAAAAAAAAACAAAAAAAAACAAAAAAAAACTGTGGGTGTAGAAGTTGTTTGTTACAAGATAGGCTAATGGTTGCTGTGATAAAAGAAGATGCAAAGCACACATACTCTGTGGATAGGGTTGCCGTGGTCCCATTTGTGAGCCCATGTTGTATGGATTGATGTTCGAATCTGGAGGGGGTCCTGCAGGTGTTGGTTGAGATGGATACATGATTCCTGGCAGATTAAATCCAGGCTGTGGAACACTTTCTCTCTGTAAACAAAAGGGAGTATATTCATTAAAACACAGAAAATCGCAGTTATATAACAATACATATCTTGCCCATGATCACTACATCATATTTTATACAAACGTTTAATTTGCTAGTAGCTTTCAATCCATTTTGAATTTCTTTGGATGATGCCCCAATCATGCACTCTTCTGAAGGAGAACAGACGTGCTGCTGCAGAACAGACGTGCTGCTAAGTGTTGTAAAAAAACTATTGCAGTATAGTTTCCAAGCAGGGTCTTGTCATAAAGCCATCTCCAGAGAGCAGGTAAAGAGTAACACAACTATGCAGTGAGTATCCAGGTGAAGCAGCATTACACAAAGACAAGCTATATATAAACTTTAAAGGCATCTCTCTTGCCAAAACATGCTGTATAATGTTCTGTAAGTGAGTAACATGAAGATCTGGACACACAGCACTGTGCAAGGGATCAACACATGCCCAGTGAAGTTCAATACAGAATAGGTCAACCAAAAAAAGTGTGCAAAAGTGAAGAAAGTATCAAATCTGTGGAAGACCACAATGTAATACCTGTGTGTCAAAGGAGGAGAAGGCAGCAGGTGGAAAGCTGGTAAGGGCAGTAGGGTTTTTGTTACTCCAGGAAGTGACAGTAGGGGCAATTCTAGCCTGAAGTAAACAAAGAAATAACAAATCACTGGACAAACTTAAGAGATGAGAACTAATTTTCTCCTTGGATAAGTGCAATAGGTTTTCATTTCCATTGTTAAGGGAGAAAGAGATTGACATGTAATGCTTAATTTTTGTCATGGGCAACCTTCGGAAGAATTAATAGGTTCCTAACATACACAGAACAGACTGACACTGGTAGCCATATACAGAAATTAAAGTGATTGTAAACCCTTATATATACCAAGTGAAGTGACTGGCCTCAGGTGATACACAGAGATGAAACAAATCTTCCTACATAAGTTGTACCTGTTTATCTGCGCGAGTCTGTTCAAAGTGCTGAAATGATAAAGCCTGCCTGAGAGTTCAGGAAAAAGGCAGCAGAAAGCTCAAAATTAAATTCTGCAGAGCTCAATGAGGAGAGCTCCGAGAGAAGATTGGAGAGAAGGGACACCCCCCCTCCACGCAGCTCACAGGAGCAGAGCTGAGGCTGTCAATCTGCTGAAGGTCCCTCCCCTTTTCCCATTTTTCTCTTGGTGTCAAGAAAACTTGTCAGAAGTGATTCATTATGATAGTAGAGGAATGAAGCAGCAGACGGAAATTACATTTAGAGCTCTTAATAGAGACAAGTACACACTATAGGGGGGTATGCTTTCTTCTCATTTCATGTCTGAGGTTTACAACCACTTTAATTGTGTGGGTTGAGACAATGATGGACGCACAGTCAACCAGGAAACATAATTCTTACCTTTAGCTTGTGATCGTAGATTTACACTTTAGTAAAGTGTTAACCCTGAAGTTTTAGTCGTTTGTTTTTAAGGCTATGTTTAGATGTATATCTGACCCTGTCGTCCCTCAGAAAGGCAATCTGCGGTGAATTGCTTTTCAAAGGAGTTTTGACAGACAGGCAGTGAGGTGGCCTGTTTTAAAGAAGTGTGGAATTATAAAAAAACAAATTTACATACTCACCTATGTGGATGCAGCATCAGTCCAATGGTGCAGCTGTCCCATGCAGGCTCTAAGACTGAGAACTGAGTGATCACAAGTTCGCTGATCGTCCAGTTCCCAGTCTTCATTGAGCAGAGAGCAGTGACTATCAGTCACTGGTTCTCTGCTCTGCATCACCAGTGCTCACTGGAGTGTTGGATGGTGGAGGGAATGGGAGTGGCTGGCTCAGGTTCTCAGCACCACCCAGTAATCTGAGCCTGGACCGGATCTGTGACATTGGGTCAAATTTTTGCCGTGGCAGGTGTACACCTCCAGTCCGCTACCATTGCAGCTTAAGGGGGGGGGAGCAATAAAAATGCAACTTAAAAACCTGTTCTACTTCACCTCCAAATCACAAGTTCAATCAAGCCCTGACAGTCAATCTTGTCCATTAATAGTATATATGTATTTATGAAACATCAGTTTAAACAGAAACTTTATGTAAAATCTTTTCCATAACAAACATTTAATGGAGCGTGTACCCATTTGTTTCAAAAAGCAGTGTCCGTTTTAAAAAACAGAATGCAAAACAATAGCTGTTTCAGTTCAGTCTCTGATTGAAACTTGCAGGGGTTCCTTTCAAAGAGCAGAGAGAAAGACAGAGAAATAAAAGGAGTCTCTTCTGGTTCATTCAAGGGAAAACTATGATTTTTGAATTTGCTATAAAATCCTTTTCTTAAAGTTCATTGAGGTACACAGCTTGAATGTGGTAATTAAGCAACACATGGTTATACGGTTGCTTACGGGAGAAATGGACACTAGGCCCAAGACTGAAGGCCTGCGCTCAGGATATAACCTCTCCCACCTCCATAGTTATAGCAAGCTGTCCAAGAGAAATAGTATATGAATGTCTCTTAATGGATTCCAAGAAAAGGTTTTTATGGTGAGTGAGTAAAGAAATCCAATTTTTTCCATCTTCTATTGAGGGACACAGCTTGATGGTAATTAAGCAACGCCATCCAAAAGCAGTCTTAACAGAGAGTCTTCCAGGATTTCTAGTGTTTACAGAGAGTCCGGCACAACAAAATAACATAAAAAGCCACTTGCAGGGCCTTTTGACCAAAGTCTGTAAAGTCACTCTGCCTGCTAAGACAGCCACAATGACTTTACAGACCATAGAGAACATACGTACCAAAAACCAGGTCACAGCCAATCAGATCTGAGACACAGTGGGGGAGATTTACTCAGAATCGGGTGCAGCTGTGCATAGTAGCCAATCAGCTTCTAACCTCAGCTTGTTCAATTAAGCTTTAGCAATAAAAAGTGGAAGGTGATTGGTTTCCACGCAGAAGTGCACGAGATTTGAGTAAAGCAGTTTTAGTACATAAACCCCACAGAATTGTTGAATGACTTCAGTACAAACAGCATGTCGTTCTTTTTTTCTAAACGATTACTGCTGCCGGCTATAGCCACTAGCAGGGTTCATTGTATTCTGACTGCGGGGAAGCCTCCCACTGTCAGAATACAATAGTGCAGCAGGAAGGATTCCCCCATCAATACTGATTGTGTGGATGAGGGAATTGAGCAATTTTCTTTCCTTCAATGTTCCTGATCCATTTATGGGCAGGCTGGTTGTATTGAAGTTGATCTATCAATCGACTGCAGTACAACCTCTTGGGGTTTTCCTCGCATGACTACTGCAGCTGGCTATAGTCAGCAGCAGTGAGCAATGTATTCTAATGGTGGGGAAACCTCCACTAAATGTGTTGATGGGGTAATCGACCCGTGGTTTAAGAAAGGAAAATTGCTTAATGTATGGCTAGCCTAGAAAATGCAAGGGACATAATTAGTTCCTGCATCAAGCGACCTTACAATGAATGCTAACTTTGCTAAGTAGATGGGTTCCCTCAGTCACAGGGCACCCACCCTTCCTTATGGCGACTGTGTGGTGCAAAAATCAGAATGCTAAGTACCTTAAAGAAAAAAGGAACTGTGAGAATCCCTCAGGAATACTCAGACCCAAGCCATAAGGTGTAACAGAAGTAAACAACAGAAGCTAAATCTGTGTATTATCACCAAGGGTGTAACCACTAGTGTGATGCTGCATGCACAACAACAGAAAGGCTGCAGGGCTGCACATGAAGAGAAAAGCAGTAGAATCCTAATTCAGATGAATTTGATAGCTACAGGCAACTGTCACAGTATTCATTGACCCAATTATTATAACTCAGACATGATATTATATTTGTGGCTGCCAAATGGAGCTTAGGTGAGACAGCAGCACAGATCCTAAAGCTGAACAATAAAGATATAAGTGCACATCAGCGCAACAATCTAGTCTTTACATGCTGCAGCCACCCTGTCAAATAATCAGCCGCGCCGTAGAAAGAGCAGCGTCAGCACACTTATGGCGTCCCAGCCAAGACCAATAAACGGAATGAATGTTAACATGGCAATCCAGACAGAATGCCCTGCTGCTGAGAGTAAAAAGAAAATTCAGTTCCAAAGTGACAAAAAAAAAAAGGTTTCCCTACAGAACACACCTTAGCAGAGCAAAGGTTCAGACCAGAGAGACAAATTATGCAAAATATACGGGAGAAGGCTGTAGACAAAATTCACATACCCAGCTTACAACTTTTATAGAATATAGGAAGACTACAAGATATAAATGGAGAGTGTAGCAGAAAGTCCCTTACATACTTACCGATTGGCATCTGTAAAAAAAAGCACTCAAGTACAGATACGACAAAGAAAGCCCACAAACCATATAACCTGCTCCAGCCATAACAGATAGTCACCAGAAAGGAAACTCTGCATGAAATCCCAGGTAAACTGGCCTGTCCTGAATAGCAGAGTCTTCTGTCAACTGGATCACTGATGGGTGTCAATGCAAAATGAAGGATTGTCGCAGAAAATCCACTAGTATACTCCAGGCCTGGAAATTTCCACTCGCCTGCTCGCCAATGGCGAGTGGAAATTATGGTGGGGGCGAGTGTGTCCCCCAGAGCCGTCTTGCTGAGCAGGCTCGGAGCTCAGGCTGGATCTGTCACTCGTACTGGGAGCTGGCAAACTGCTCAATAGCTGAGCACAGTGAAAGCAAAGGGAGGAGTGTGTGCTGTGCTCTCTGCCTCCCCCTAGAGTGCAGTACCCGGCTCTGTGAGTGAACAACGAAGTACCTCAACTTTTTATAGGGGTGTGTGTGTGTCTACCTAATTTCAGCTCACTCTGGTCACATGATCCTCTATGTCAGCCAGTGGTGGCGTCAGGGGAGAGGAGACAGCACTTAACTGCATGCGTGTGTACATGTGTGTGTATTTGTGTGTGTCTGTGTATGCATGTACATGTGTCTGTGTGTATGTACATGTGTCTGTGTGTATGTACATGTATGTGAGTGTGTACATGTGTCTGTGTGTGTGCGCATGTACATGTGTGTTTGTACGTACATGTGTGTATCTGTACATGTGTCTGCGTGTATGTACATGTGTCTGTGTGTGCATGTACATGTACGTACATACGTGTGTCAGTGTGTACATGTGTCTGTGTGTGCATGTACGTACGTACGTACGTACATGTGTCTGTGTGTACATGTGTCTGTGTATGTATGTACACGTGTCTGTACATGTATCTGTGTGTATGCATGTCTGTACGTGCCTGTATGTGTGTGTGTGTGTGTGTGTGTGTGTGTGTGTGTGTACATGTGTCTCTGTGCATGTGTGTACGTTTCTGTGTGTGTATGTACATGTCTGTGTGTTTGTACAGGTGTCTCGGTTTGTGTGTGTTTGTTGGTGACGAGTACTCTTAAGGTCTGGCTAGTAGCTCAGGACTTGAAATTTTAAGCCCTGGTATACTCTATATCTTCCAATTTAAATAAAAAATATAACAGAAGAGAGATCCATTCTCCTAGGGGACTGACCTTCAGATTTCTTGAATCTGTCCAGCTTAGGCAGCAGGGAAAACCCCACACTGCTCATTTACCATCAACCTGTGTCCCTCAATGGATGAAGGAGGAATATTTTTTAGTCCTAACCATATTAATTAAAATATATACAAAACCAGTACACATTATTTTAAAGCCAACTCCAAAATTATATTTTAAGCATGATTGTAAAATCATCAGGATTCTTATATTTTTTTAGGAGCACCTTCGTTCCAAACCAAGAAAAAACCAAGAACTTGAATAATGGGCATATCCATGGGTCCGACAACATTTCTTTCTGTTATTGCTGCCAGCGCATCCCTTTAATGGTATGGGGAATGCAGGCATTACTTGTCCCACATCCCAGAATTTGGTGCTTAAGCAACTTTTTACCAGGTCCAAACATTGCATAATATCGCACATATCTCAACACAAATACCAATCACCATAAAGCCTGAATTTGCAGAGGACATTTGTTGGCTCCAGTGGCATTGGTTTGGTTTTAAAATCTGCTTTCTAGTACATCCCGTACGGGAAGCAGATATTCTGACAGGTCTGCAGGAGACCTGCATGGCATCAGCAATCTACTGATCGCTGGTGCAATGCTTTCCAGGCTCCTGCAGACAAAAATAATAAATGCACATTTTTTTTACCTGCAAAAAAATGCGCATTTATTATTTTTGTCAAAAAGGTGAACTTATCATTTAACTGGGGTGCTTCAGACATTAAACGACCCAAAAGTATAGTCAGCAGCACACAGCAATCAGAACATTTACATGCTAAAGCAGAAAGAAAAAAAATGTATAGATCTATCTTCCTTAATTTGATTAAATTTATTACGCATTCACAGACTAATTCAATACTATTCCAAATCAATAGACCAATTTAGATTATTACCTGTGGGTAGTACTGGTTGTCAGCTGTATGTTTTGTATTTGTTGTCAGGCGATGTGGTAATGTAGCTGGTCCTCCGTGAGATGCAACATTTCCAGGGGTGGTTGTGCCACCTTCCCCTTGTGCTCGTGCCAGTCTGTCCCGTAACTGCACAATATTTAGCTGGTGCAGGAAAGAGAAATCAGAAAGCTTACCCCTCTGCAAACATGATTCCAACATGAGTGCTCCCTATACCTCCAACAGCAACATACCTTCTGCCTGAATAAATAATGACAAAAATATCTCACCTGGTTTGTATTGTTGGGTAAGAATGCAATAGCAGCAGCAAGGCTGCCTTGAGCTGCTAGCAGGTTGGCATACTGACTCATCTTCTCTGCCAGCAGAACGCCAACATCTTGCGTGTCCACAGCCTGCATGATTTGCACAGATTTGCGTAGGATGACCACTTTTTCTATAAGATCCTAATTACATGAAGAAAAAAAATGATTACAAAAAAATATTTACAGCTAAAAAGGTTATGTGTTTCAATGACAACATCCCCACCCACCTGCAGAGAAAGGGGACTTGCACCATCTTGGGCCCTGGTCCAGCAGGTGACAAGTTTCTCTACATTTCCAGCACATATGTAGCACAGACAAGCTTGTGCTTGGAGAGAAACATCACCCTCTTTCAAAAAACTCTCAAGTCGAGAGCCCAAAAGATCTGCAGGTAAAACAGTAAGAGTCAAAACCAAATAGCACACTAAATCGATTACATCAAGGCAAAAGGCAATTAGATGTTCAGGGTTCAGCTGATTGGGCTAATTGACTGCTGCTACACACTGCTGTGCACTTTTTGGTGGGATTTGACTAAGTGAAAGAGGGAGTAAACTCCCTTTGTTGCTTTGTACCTACAGGTACACTTATATAATAGGTACTGTACTGTAAATATCTCCTAGACGTGCAAGATTTTACCGTATTTACGTACATGTGAAGCAGCCGGTGACGTCACCGGCGCATGGACAGTGGGCTATCCATCGAAAGAGCTGGTGCCATGGTCATGACTCCTGTGCGTATGCACGGGATTGACATCACCTCGGCTCGGCCACTGAAGCGGCCAGAACCGGCGAACCTGGAGGGGAGACCAAGTAAAGATGGATTCCTGTCAGCGATGACAGGAGTTGCTGGAGGGATCCATTTCATAGGAAAATCTGTCATAATGTGTTAGTATACGGTGCACACTAGCACATTATGACTTAACCCTGTGGGGGACCAATTTTTTTTTTTTTTTTTTATCAAAAGCGGTTTACCACTACTTTAAACCTCTCATTGACTCATAAAAACAAAGGCTTGTAATACACAAAAAGTAACACCTAAAAAATTGCATTTACCACAAGGTTTAGAAAAATATTCTTTATCAAACTAAACCACCTCAAAATATTTTGCAGTCTGATCTGGGAGATTTGGTTTATTGCTATGCATATTTAAACAGCAGGATCCCAATTTACACAGCAGGCTTTAAAGTGGTTGTAAACCCTTACAAATATCAGTGAAGTGACTCACCTCAGGTTATACACAGAGATTAAACAAATCCTCCTACTTAAGTTGTACCTGTTTATCTTCTATTCCATCCGTTCAAAGTGCTGAATTTTAAAATTTTTCTGAGAGTTCAGAAAAAAGGGGTGGAGTGCTGAAATTACACAGTGAGGAGAGCCCCTAAGAGCTGATTGGAGGGAAGACACCCCCCTTCCCTTCCACACAGCTCCCAGGAACAGAGCTGAGGTTGTCAGTCTGTTGGAGTCTCTTCCCTGTCACCATTTTTCTCTTGGTGTCAGGAAAACTTGTCAGAATTGTTTCATGCTGATAGCTGAGAAACTAAGCAGCAGTCAAAAATTACACTTGGTGTTCTTCATTGAGACAAGTATATACTATATAGAGGGATATTCTGTGTTCATATTTCATGTCTGAGGTTTACAACCACCTTAAGACTTAAGAGAAGGATTCTCCCCTCCTTCTCTCCAAGTAGAAAAGGGGTGTGTCCAAAAGCTTTGCCAGTGTCCAGTCATGTGAAAGCAGTAACCCATAACTCAGAGTCTATAAATATTCAGCCCATACTGTATTAAGATATAAGGATTACATACACTATAGATAATGATATATCAGATTATAAATAAAAAATACAAAGAGCAAAATCCACAACAGGTTTCCTTTAAAACGTACACTTTAAAATTAATAGTGGTAAAACATGAATAAATAGTCATAATCCATACCACATAAAAAGACAAATTCTTCAGGTCTCGCATAGGTCAACACTGCAGCCAAAGCCTCTCTCCAGTTTTTGAGATCACACGACTGCACAATATCACTCCAGTTCTTAGTAACTACAGCAGTTATCAGCTAGGGAAAAAGATAAAAATGTGTCCACTTTAAAAAAAAAAAAAAGACATACAACACTCAACTATACAAGAGAAATAGTTAATATTTTGTAAGCAGCAGGAAAAGATAAATGCATGTTTTGAGCAATCAATCAAACATGTTCTTGCCATAAAGGGTTTAAAATGCAACCCACAGAAAGTAGATGATAAAGAAAAATATAAAGATTATCTGATCTGAAATCCAATCGGTTGTCATGGGTTACTTTTTTTTTTTTTACTACTGCTTTTGCAATGCTTCAGTGCTGCATGTTTTTTTCATTGCTTAATGAAGAACACTTGGTTAAAGATATAGTAGACTGCCATAACAGCAATGTTTTTGCTTATTGTTCCTCCTTCCCATTTTTATTGTTACCAGGAAGAGGAGTGCAAGGTTTGCACTAACTTTTAAAGTGGTTTTAAAGGCTCATAGTCTTTTACCTTCACGCATTCCGTGCATGAAGATAAAAAACCTTCTGTGTGCAGCAGTGCCCCCAGCCCCCTCAATACTTACCTGAGGTCCATCGCGATCCAGCGATGTGCACGGCAGCATTGGCTGTCCCAGGTCTCTGCCTCTTCACTGGCTGAGACTGCAAGTGAGAGCCATTGGCTCCCGCTGCTGTCAATCACAGCCAGTCAGCCAATGGGGGGGGGGGGGGTTTAAGCCGCGGCTCCGTGTGTGAATGCAAGGGAGAATGTCACCAGCACACCGACGATCACCAATCTGGGTCCAAAAGGTTTAATAAATGATCACATTGTTACAGCAAGGCAATGTTTTGAAGTCTCGCAGGACCCCTTCATCAGGCATGTGAATGGACACACGGAGAGGTGGGTGCCCCCATAGCAAGCTGCTTGCTGTGGGGGCACCGGACAGAAAGAAGGAGCCAGGAGAGCCTGTGGGGGACCTGAGAAGAGGAGGATCCAGGCTGCTCTGTGCAAAACCACAGCACACAGTAGGTAAGTATAGACATGTTTGTTATTTTACATTATGAAAAAATCACTTTAACTAAAAATTATGAACCTTTAATATCACTTTAACTCTCTGTGCCTCTGGTCAGAGTCTCCTGGACATTGTTGCTGAAGATACTGAACATATGGTCTGTCTCCTGATTGGTCTGGAACAGCCTCCATTTGGGCTCCTGTTTTCTGTCGTCACCTTGGCAGTGACTGTTGAACTTATTACAACTCAACAGGCCATCTATGGAATTTGTTTGGAAGGGTAAGTTGTTTTTACATGTATGTTTTGATGTTCAGTGCAACCCAGAGTAATCTATGACTTTGTGTTTAGGTTTAGCTTTACAGAAAACCATGGCTGCATTGTGTTCTTTCTGACAATAACCCAGAAGATTTTTATGAATATTATCAGCTGAAATCCAACTGTGATGAAAAGAGAACATAGGCACACAGAAAATACCAATGTACAAGACAGGATGTGGAGCAAAGAGATGTTAAAAGTCGCCAGGAAACAGTCCCATTTACAACTGGCTACTTGCATAACTGTACTTTGGACAGTATACATGTATAATACATACCCTAGTTATTTTGCTTTGTGTTCTGGCAAAGTACTTCTTTTGTGTTTTAGCTAGCAGATCAGGGCCACCAGCAATAGCCAGTATTATAGCATCTGCCATGCGGTTATCGTGCAGGCAGAGGTCAACTGCACTTTCAAAGTTACCGGTTAACAGAGCTTGAGTGATGAGTCCATCCACATCTGAAAATGCAATGAAATGTCTCAAGACAGAGAAAGACAATGTAATCTGTTCATCCAATTCAGAATTCAAATTGTAATAGAACATGTACAGTTGTGTTCAAAATAATAGCAGTCAGACATCACTAACCTGATCAATCACTGTTTTTGGTAGAAATGATATTTCTACATGGCAAATCATTTACTAGCAGGTGTAGTAGAGTAATAGAAGTCCAACAGACCCAACAGTCATGACATGCATGCTGCTGATGCTGTGTAATTGAATCACTAATTGAAAGGGGCATGTTCAAAATAATAGCAGTGTGGAGTTCTATTAGTGAGGTCATTCATTCTTTGAAAATAGGTGGCAATTATTGCCCTTATTTAAGGAAGGAAGGCAGCAAATGTTGTACATGCTAGTTACAGTGCACTTCTCTCTGAAATTCTGAGGAAAATGGGTCGTTCCACACATTGTTCAGAAGAACAGCGTACCTTGATTAAAAAGTTGATTGGAGAGGGGAAAACATATAAAAGAAGTGCAGAAAATGATAGGCTGCTCAGCTAAAATGATCGCAAATGCTCTAAAAATGGCAACCAAAACCTGAAAGACGTGGACGAAAAATGAAAAACTACCATTTGAATGGATAGAAGAATAGCCAAAATGGCAAGGACTCAGCCAACAATCAGCTCCAGGAAGAATACCTGTTCACAGGTGCCAGAAGTTGGTTGACTCCATACAACACAGATGTACAGCAGTTCTCAGAAACTGTGCTTATACAACTAAATATTCATTAAGTGATTCAAAGGAAAGCAAAATCTTCAAACATTTTTCAGTTTATATAGTGAATGTTTGAGTTTGTAAAGAAGAATACAAACACTGCTTTTTTTTTGAACAGTCTAATATTCACTTTTCTTCAATTTTTTTTTAGAGGAACTACACAAATTTGATATATTTTTCTTCATGTTTTGATTTGGAATAGAATGTGTAGTGTTCCCAATGCATTTGTGTGTATGGAAATAAAAGCTATTAGAAGGATTGTGAGCTTTATTCACTTTTTTTAACACACTGCTATTATTTTGAACACAACTGTACAAATCATCAAAAATCCCAACTCAAAATGCAGCTGCAGTGCTACCTGCTGGTGAAAATGATTACTGCTTGTGCAGTTAAATACAATTATATACCATTATGTCTGAATTGACAGAATTTGTCAAAAGGACTGAAATAACATTGAGGGCCCCACTGTTTAGAAGGAGACTATATAACGCAAGTTACTCTAGTAGGTTTCAGTATAATCTGAGAGTTCGATTTTTAACAGTATAGCCCCTTCACTCCAAATGGATCCTGTTTGAGAATATAGTCATAACATTACCTCCGCTCACGGATATACTGAAGGTCTCACCAGATGGAATGGTGTCCCCAACATCTGCTTTACTGACACTGAGATTCTAAGAGAATGTAAAAAGACAAAACACACTCTTATACTACATGTAACTTTAAAAGGAATAAAGCTTTCATTATCATCGTGTACAGAAACATATGAAAGCAGCTCATCTATATTTATTAACCAAATCACCAGAAAACAATATTGGACAATACACAACGCTAGTTTGGCATTTCATGGTAGGTTAACACATGGCTTACAAGTGCACTTACTGTGACAATTCAGCTTGCAGGAAAGTGATAAAAAAAAGGAGCATGAAATAAATACAGTACCTCCCCCAGGCTCAGCTCTTCAGTAGGTTCACTTCCTTCCTCATCACTCTCTACAGCCTGGTCAGAGTTTCTCTCAGCCTTTCATAGAATAGTGTTAAATAAATAGACATAGTAAGGAAGTATTAAAGACTAGAAAATAGTTCAAATCAATTCAAAATCACTGAAGAAAAAAATTGATATCATGGTGATTTGTGGCCATTCCAAAGTTGGATGCTCTACATGGAAAAAGCTATGTTTAAAAATATATAAATATTAGCAGTATAGATCACAAGGAGTAATAATGCATCTGAAGTACTAACAGAATTATACTCTACCCTCATACTCCTATTTTATACTCTTTTTAAGAGCATAATCCCTGTTTTTCTCATATTCCAGTAGGTGAGTCATGTTTCTTGGTGTTTTGTGCAAGATGTCACACCAATAGACAACTACAACTGAGGGAAAGCGCCCAAAACCCAGGAATATTTGGGACGAGACTGCAGTTGCCCAAAGCTCTCCAGCACAGACTCAGATCAAAAACTGGGCAAATTACTGGAATGAAGAAAAATATCACGCTAGTAGTCTTAGACATGGCAGGCAGTTCGGTTTCCCAGTGCAGGAGCGATTTTCAGTGCATGCAGTGTGCCATTAATGGCACCCGCATACATCTCCTGCGTTTTTCTATGCAGTTGGTTGTGACTGCGGGAACAGGTGCAGTCACCTGCACATATGTGAATTTAGTCTTAAAAAAAATGTTGTATCTCCCAAAGAACACAAAGCAAAACTGGGCATGCTGTCTAGGGGTGAGGTTATGTAGCGTTTAAGGGCTGGTCCCATGATATTTTTGGGCATAGTGTCTAACCTCCCGTAGATGGCAGCATAACACATTTTATAGACTCTATACAGTTCTATGTCCCTAAAAGATTGATAAAGAAAAAGCTTAATTGATAATTCTTTTGGTAGGTCAATTTACTTTTGGAACAGCTTCCACCAAGAAATAATCTTAGATCGCATGTTGATTAGATTTTTTTTTTTTTTATAGGGAAGTAAGTACAGCACAGTATTAGAAGACAGTTAGGTATACACACATTTTGCATTAGAAAAGAGACTGCAATTGGGGTATAATACGAAATCTGAATGTTAGTCAACAGAGGGATTAGTGCAAGGTTTTATATGTGTGGCACAGAATTTTGCATCCAATTTATATATATATATATAATATAAAATAACTGTGCAGTTTTTTTCCATACTTGGAAGAAAAAAAATGATCACATACAGCACAGCCAAACTAACTAAACATAACTGTAATAATAATTCTAAATGCAGTCTGGGAGAGGCAATACCCAAGCCCCCAAACTTTACCAAGTTGAAAGTATGACGGACAAAAAATCTGGGAGTCACTCCTATTTAATTTTTGATTATAGTACCCATCAATTACTACAGTAATGGATGCCAGCCTTGCTCAATCAGAAAAGCTATGCAAACAGAAAAAGATGCCAACATACAGTGGGGCAAAAAAGTATTTAGTCAGCCACCAATTGTGCAAGTTCTCCCACTTAAAAAGATGAGCGAGGCCTGTAATTGGCATTATAGGTAGACCTATAGAGACAAAAAACTATGAGAGACAAAATGAGAAAAAAAAATCCAGACAATCACATTGGCTGATTTGGAAAGAATTTATTTGCAAATTATGGTGGAAAATAAGTATTTGGTCACCTACAAACAAGCAAGATTTCTGGCTCTCACAGACCTGTACCTTCTTCTTTAAGAGGCTCCTCTGTCCTGCACTCATTACCTGTATCAATGGCACCTGTTTGAACTTGTTATCAGTATAAAAGACACCTGTCCACAACCTCAAACAGTCGCACTCCAAACTCCACTATGGTGAAGAAACACAACTCGTCCAGTTTGGAGGAGAGAGAATGCCGAGTTGCATCCAAAGAACACCATACCAACTGTGAAGCATGAGGGTGGCAACATCATGCTTTGGGGCTGTTTCTCCGCAAATGGACCGGGACGACTGATCCATATACAGTACAGAATGAATGGGGCCATGTATCGTGAGATTTTGAGTGCAAACCTCCTTCCATCAGCAAGGGCATTGAAGATGAAAACGTGGCTGGGTCTTCCAACATGACAATGATCCCAAAACATACCACCCAGGCAATGAAGGAGTGGCTTTGTAAGAAGCATTTCAAGGTCCTGGAGTGGCCTAGCCAGTCTCCAGATCTCAATCCCATAGAAAACCTTTGGAGGGAGTTGAAAGTCTGTGTTGCCCAGCGACAGCCCCAAAACATCACTGCTCTAGAGATCTGCATGGAGGAATGGGCCAACATACCAGCAACAGTGTGTGCCAACCTTGTGAAGACTTACAGGAAACGTTCGACCTCTGTCATTGCCAACAAAGGATATATAACAAAGTATTGAGATGAACTTTTGATATTCACCAAATACTTATTTTCCACCATAATTTGCAAATAAATTCTTTCCAAATCAGCCAATGTGATTGTCTGGATTTTTTTTTCTCATTTTGTCTCTCATAGTTGAGGTCTACCTATGATGCCAATTACAGGCCTCTCTCATCTTTTTAAGTGGAAGAACTTGCACAATTGGTGGCTGACTAAATACTTTTTTGCCCCACTCTATGTAATTAAAGCAGAATGCAGTAAAAGTGCAAAAAAAATCTTTACTTAAAATTAATAAACAATGCAAAAATAAACAAAAAGTCAATGAAACACATAAACCCATCACCTATGAAAATTACAACATTGTCACAAACACTCCTGTACAGACCACAATATCTCTCAAAGCTGTAGTAAATCTTTTCAAAGAAAAAAAAGCAAACCAAAAAAATGGTCCCTGCAAGTCAAGCATCGTATGCTAGCACATTATGAAAGACGTACCAAAAGGAAGCCCTCCACCGGCACGCTGTCACCACTGACAGGGCTTCCACTTTCACCTGGTCTTCCTTCCATGTTTGCGTGCTTCAGCCATTTGAATGGCCAAGCCACGATAAAGTCACTCCTGTGCATGCACACAGGAGCCACAGCACAGTGCTCTGAAGGGACAGAATACTCAGTATTCCATCCCTTCAGTGAGCAATTCGCATGCCAGAGAGGTCACGGTCGCAGAAATAGTGAATATCTCCTAAATAGTGCACATTTAGGATATATTCCTTGTACCTACAGGTGAGCTTTATTAAAGCTTACCTGTAGTTACAAGTCATCAAGCAGTGTTTACTACTAAAGGAGAAGTGTGAGAAAACATACAAATAAACATACAAACTCTGCTGCATTATCGGTTTGATGCTACAGCTGGCTCCCACTGGCTATAAGCCTGAGAGCTGATCGATCAGTTTTTGGTCCGCTCTGAGCAGGGAACGAGACTGTCAGTCACCGCACTCTGCTCTGTCCCACCAGCACTCACTGGAGCACCAGGCTGTGGACACAGCTGGAGCAATTGGCTCAAGCTCTCAGCAGCGTGCTGAGCCAGCTGTCAATCAGGCGTCTTGGTGCTGAGATCCTTTCAAAGACTAGAGAGGCTCTGTGATATCAACTGAGAGCATGCTTTAGCTTGCTCGGATGATTGTGGGTCAGAGGAGAGCACAAGTAAGTGTGCTCCCTGTGACCCACTAGAGAAGCATGGCCAAGAAAGCTTTGGCCATACTTCTCTTTTAAGCCAAAACTCTAGCTACAGAGATTTATCTACCGTATTTTCCGGTGTATAAGACGACTTTTTACCCCTTGAAAATCTTCTCAAAAGTCGGGGGTCGTCTTATATGCCGGTATACGGCATACTGACACTTTTTAGGGGGGCGGCGCGGTGCTGCCGCCGCCCCCCCCCTTCCGATGGAAGGGACACTAAGTACAGGGGTGGGCAGGGGCTGCTGTTTCTTACCTGGCTCCTGTCCCACGACGATCCGGTCCAGGAAGCACGGCTGCTCCTTCAGTTCGGCCACTGGATGTTCGTGTGACTGCTCGGCTCCGCCTCCTCACCGGTGATTGGCCGCCAGAACTGTAGCTCAGGAAAGGCACACAGGTGGCCAATCACCGACGAGGGGGCGAAGCCGAGCGGCCCCGCAAAAATCGAGTTAAGGAGCAGCCGGTAAGTGTGCCGTGTAGAGGTGCTGCTGCAACCACACATGCTGGCTGCAGCAGCACCATACTAGAACAGAGGTCAGCAAGTGTAATTGGTGTCAGTGGGAGGAATAGTGCCCCATCATTGGTGTCACTGATACCAATGATGGAGCACTATTCCTCCCACTGACACCAACGATGGGGCACTATTCCTCCCCCCCACTGACACCAACGATGGGGCACTATTCCTCCCCCCCACTGACACCAATGATGGGGCACTATTCCACCCCCCACTGACACCAATGATGGGACACTATTTCTCCCACTGACACCAATGATGGGGCACTATTCCTCCCACTGATACCAATGATGGAGCACTATTCCTCCCACTGACACCAACGATGGGGCACTATTCCTCCCACTGATACCAACGATGGGGCACTACTCCTCCCCCCCACTGACACCAATGATGGGGCATTATTCCTCCCACTGATACCAATGATGGGGCACTATTCCCCCCACTGATACTAATGATGGGGCACTATTCCTGCCACTGATACCAATGATGGGGCACGATTCCCCCCACTGACACCAAAGATGGGGCACTATTCCTCCCACTGATACTAATGATGGGGCACTATTCCTTCCACTGACACCAATGATGGGGCACTATTCCCCCCACTGATACTAATGATGGAGCACTATTCCTGCCATTGATACCAATGATGGGGCACGATTCCTCTCACTGACACCAATGAATGATGGGGTGCTATTCCTCCCACTGACACCAATGATGGGGTGCTATTCCTCCCACTGACACCAATGATGGGGTGCTATTCCTCCCACTGACACCAATGATGGGGTGCTATTCCTCCCACTGACACCAATGATGGGGTGCTATTCCTCCCACTGACACCAATGATGGGGCGCGATTCGTCGCTCTGACACCAATGATGGGGCACTATTCCTCCCACTAATACCAATGATGGGGCACTATTCCTTCCACTAATACCAATGATGGGGTACTATTCCTTCCACTAATACCAATGATGGGGCACTATTCCTCCCACTAATACCAATGATGGGACACTATTCCTCCCACTGACACCAATGATGGGGCACTATTCCTCCCACTGACACCAATGATGGGGCACTATTTCTCCCACTGGTGTGCATTGCTAGAGGGGTAGTCTTATACGGCGGGTATAGCCCAAACACTACATTTTAGCAGGAAAAGTAGGGGGTCGTCTTATACGCCCAGTCGTCTTATACGCCAGAAAATACGGTAAATTCCTGAATTCCTACAAGAATCAACAAAATTCCTAAAAGTTACCTCTTGTAATGTGGTGTAAAACGTTTGCAGTGCCCTCCATTTACTCTATAATCTATTCATTAGTTTTCTGATTACTACTGTCAAAGCCACGTGTATGATAGCTGCAGATATAACAGTGAAGCGATCATTTCGTTTATCCTCCCTCTCCCCTTGTCCAATCATAGATGATATTTAACTGCTTATGAACATAAACTGAATTTTCTTCAATTAGAAAGCTTAGATCCATCTTACAAACCCAGCAGCAGCATTTATAGCATAACTGGTTCAAAGTCCAACATACACTCTCTGGCCACTTTATTAGGTACACCTGTTCAATTGCTTGGTAACACAAATTGCTAATCAGTCAATCACATGGTAGCAACACAATGATTTTAGGCATCTAGACGTGGTGAAGACTAACTGAAGTTGAAACCGAGCATCAGATTGGGTAAAAAAGGAGACATAAGTGACTTTGAATGTGGCATAGTTGTTGGTGCCAGACGAGCTGGTCTGAGAATTTCACAAACTGCTGATCTACTGGGATTTTCACGCACAACCATCTCTATGGTTTACAGAGAATGGTCTGAAAAAAAAAAAAATATCTAGTGAGCGGCACTTGTGTGGATGAAAATGCCTTGTTGATGTCAGAGGTCAGAGGAGAATGAGCAGACTGGTTGCTGCGACATTCAGATGGTAGGGTCAGAAATTGGCATAAACAACATGAAAGGATGGATCTATCCTGCCTTGTATCAACGGTTCAGGCTGGGGGTGGTGGTGTAATGGTGTGGGGGATATTTTCTTAGCACTAGCAAGGTGTACTTAATAAAGTGTCCAGTGAGTGTAAATTTCTGCTTACTTCATGGCACCTGAATGTCTGATCAGAATAGTCTAGACTAGGAGGAGAAATAGTCAATGCATTTTCCTCCACATCCTTAGTGGGTCTCAATGACAGTTTATTTTTGCATTTCTTATCCCAAACCTGACTGAATGCATGTATTTTTACTTTTTCACACAAGCTTAGATAAAATCAAACCAAACTGCAGTCTCTGGGTTCTATTACCAGATCTATTCGTATATGTTAGGGCACCACACAATGAAATCAATAAATAATTTAATTGAATTTCTGTGCCAATCGAAATACCTTACATAATCCAAAAAAAAAAAGCTTTATCTTATGTGAAGGAAGCCTGTGATATTATTTAAAATCGCATTGTTACAGGATACACTATTTTTCTTGTGCTCAGGCATTTATTTTGAAAATTGTAACAAATGACCATATCAACTTTGTTAAAGTGGTAGTAAACTAATTTTTTTAACTTTTACCTACAGGTAAACTTATTATAAAGCTTACCTGTAGGTAAAATGAATATCTCCTAAACGTGAGCCGCTTAGGAGATATTCACTCTTTTTTAGAGCCAGTGCATTTGCTCTGAAGGAACGGCATACCCGTGTCGTTCCTTCAGAGTACTGTGTCGTGGGGGATTTCTATCCTGACTGATTCAGGGTAGTACAGATTTGCCATTATCGGATTAAAACCTATTAGATCAAGACCACCATGCATGTCAAAGAAAAAAGCTGGACTTTTACAATCATCATGTCCCTAAGATTCTCAAATGACTTTCCTTCACATAGTAAGCAACAAAGGACTTTTTCATACTTCTCAACATAAAGATAAACATTAAGCTGCAAACCCAAAAAGTGATAGCCAAATGACATTCATATGTCAACCTGGGCAATATCATGCAAATCTAAAAAGGAAATTAAATGTAAAGAGGATAAGAGAGGCGAGATCTCCTCTTTGGTAAAATTAGTGAATTTACTTGCTTAATTGTAAATGTCAAACAAAATAAGGTACTCCATAAAATGCAAAGCACACCAGGAAAACTATCACGCCATGCAAGTTGAAGGGTTTTACTTGAAAAATTGTATATATTGGTTGAATGTAAGAGAATGAAGAAAAAAAAACATAGTTACATTTATAATAAAACATACCTCTTGTGCTCCATCTGTGTTGCTTAGAACTGAAGCAATCTGGAAAGAACAGACATGTTAACACTTAAGAGGATTTTACTCAATTACTCCTATTTCCTAGTTTTACATAGACTTGTTATGTATATGTGTGTCTCCCAAAAAAGCTAAATTGGCCCTATACTTCTGTCATCAGATTTGTGAAATCTAGGATATGTTCTGGAAATACACAATGTGTAGAGCATGAGGGTTTACAGCAAGTGAACTCTAAAGAGGTTTGGAAATTGTCAGTGTGCTATCACAGCCCATGTTCAGCTATAATTATTAAAACAGTGTATGTGATGCACAGGTAGAGAGATACCAGTGAATACCTTTGCTCCAAGATCTTCCTTTCTGAATCCCAAAAGTTCCAAGTACTTGCCACGGGAATCATCCTCAAAGTTCACCTAGGAAAGTAAAAAAATCAGTGTAGGAAATGCCAGATCTCTGAAATTTTGCATCTTCAGACAAAATCCTTCATAAAGATGTTTCTGAGATTCCCACAGCTACCCAGTGATAACAGATTAATAACAGAAGTATTATTAATACCATGAATATATAGTTAATATAAGCAAAATAAAACATATTAAAGAAAAAAAAAAGTAGGTATATCCCTAGGAAAAAAAGTAAACTCTTATTTCACTGTTTTGTAAAATTTCATAAAAAGATACTAATGAGGCCCTGTACACTCTCTACAGCCCCTTTCATACGAGCGGAATGATGGGGTCCGCCTCTCCGTTTTTCAGGTCCCATCGGTCCATCCATAGACTTCTATGGACCAGCGGATGTCAACGGACACCCGCCGGCATCCGATCCGATTCTGTACGCCAAAAACAGTCAGATGGGGATCCGTTCCCCATCCGCCCAGTGGATCAGATGAAAATCAGGTGGAAATGGACAGGCGGTCCATTTCCATCCGACCGTCCCATTGAAAACAGCGGGCAGTGTCTGTGTCTGCTCTGCAGCAGCAGAGAACGAACAGAGACCTGTCATCTGCCTGCTCAGCGGGGATCAGCGGAGAGATCCCCCACTGAACAGGTGGATCACGCTGACAGATCCGTCCCGTCTGAAAGGGGCCTACAATAATCTACTTAGTCAATAGGTTCTGGTTACAGAGCCAGCACTTGAACTGCCATCTATGATTATTCCACATGATAGCATTCAAGAGAGTAAGTCAGTAAGCATTGGAATCAACAATGTTAGCACACTTACTGTATGTGTTCATTAACGTTTGAAATGCATATTGTTCAAAAACTAAGTAACCTCATAGATCTGAGGAGCTGCTCTGCCACTACAAAATTACATGATTTGTGCAGTCAACAGCCCTAAACATGGAGGTGAAAGTGGGGGATTTAAGAAAACTTTAGAAAGCAAGAATTGTATTCACTGATTACACAACCTACCAAAATAACAAAAAAAAAAAACTTTTTTTTTTTTTTTTTTTTGGTGCCTTGCTTAGATGTGTTCTTGGCGTTATTTGGGGCACCGATTCAGAACATTGTATTGGCTAGGCTGCATCAGCTCTACTTTCTTGTATTTAGTGACATTTATATAATTGTTTAGTCAGTTTTTGAAAAGATCTTGCTGATCAACTTGTTCTTCTGTTAGCTAGTTTGTGTTTTTATGTACAACAGGGGTGCTCAACCTATTGAACAGCAAGGGCCACTTAAGTGATTTTGGTAACCGGTCATGGGGCACAATGAACTATGGGATTATACCGCCCCCCAAAATGCAAATGTAAACAAGCCCTTACTGTCCTGAGCCCTTCATAAGGCTGCTTTCACTGTTGTGCCGCAGTGTCATGCATCATGGATGCAGCGCAGTGCACTTGCGGCTTGCTTGTGGGTTAGCTGTGCTGAGTCACAGACTTCTATTACATTTTGTAGGAGTGGTGCACTTTCTGAAAGAGCATCAAATATCCACAGGACATATTAGAAGTCTATCCCTCAGAGCAGCTAACCCAACTTGCGAATCAGTGTGAAAGCAGCCTAATCACCCCTTTTTTATAAGTGCTAATATGCCCTTTGCAAAAGTGCAGTGTATACAATGTTTAATGCACTGACCTTTTCCTCTTCCAGCTATTTGCTGGCATCGCTGTCCAGGCTGATAGAAAGGATTAGTGGTAGAGTGCACTTGGCATCACTTTGCCTGGGACATGAGCCAACTCTATAGAGGAAGCATCGGTCTATGTGGCTCCTGCTCCCTCTGCGCCCGCCTACCTCCTCTGTTGCTGGCTCCATGCACTCTGATGCTATGGGATAACGGGTCAGAAAGCTGTTGACCTCATTCTGGGCTTGCCAACCCGTCACCTCAGAGCATGGGCATGCTCTTCCCTTAGTTTGAGGTCGCAGGCCACATCAGAGTGCTCAGCGGGTGACAGGTTGAGCACCCCTGATGTACAAGTTAGCAGACATAGTGAGAATGTTTACATACTTACAACTGTAAGTTTTATATTGAAAACATCATGTGTATATTGCCATGCATATCATTTTATTTTTGCAGATCGATCTGTACAAATGTGTTTCATTCACACTAAAAATACACTAAAAAAAAGAACACTAAAATAAAGTATCCTGATTTTTGACAGGCGACCAGAGTGAAGAGTGGTATATGGCATTTATGTTGCATCTCAAAATCTAGAGCTGAAAGGGACACATTTGTGGAATCAGTGGCTCAAATATACCCAGGAACAGGTCTAACATTCAAGTCCCCAAAATGTGTGATGGCAAACACAGTTTTGCCTTAGGTTATACTTAACTCAAGCAAATATAGCCAAAATGTAATATATATAATCCCCACCCCATGGAAATTGTTGACCTCTTCAAAATATATGAATGGGCAAACAATAGATCTTTGTTTAAAGAGTGTCTACAGAAATAGGAAATATACTTGAATGAAAAAAGTGTTTTTTTGAATTATTCATTCCACAAAAATATCAATAGCTGTAATGGTGTACTGTGGAAAAAGTAATCATTGGTTTTTGAAGTTGGTATTGCCCCTGTTGCCGAAATGACTTCTTAGGCTTGTAACACTGCCCACAAGTCTCTGAGTTTATTGCATGAACTGCACATTTTAATTGGAATCAAATAAGGCTTTCAGTAGGGCAGTCCAAATCCTCTATCCCTTCACTTTGAGCCATTCCTCAGATTTGCTAGTGTGCTTTGGATCACTATCGTGTTGAAAGACACATTTCCAATTCCACTTATGGACAGATGGCCTCACATTAACATCAAGCAAACTTTGATATGTAGAATGTATATAAAACCTGTGTGCTAAAAATAGAGTGCAATAAATCACTGTGCAACAATAAAAACAAACCACATTAAACAATATCAAAATGAAGAAAAAGTTTACTAAATCATAAATTCTATGCCACCACGTGGCTAACAAAGTTTCCATAAAAGTTAAATCACTAAAAAGGTTTCCATGCATTCATCAAAAAACGTCACCCTATGTTTTTGTGTTACTTTCCAGTGCTCCTACACCACCAACAAGGAGAACTCGCCTGATAAATATGACCACCCACTAAAGGTCAGCCATAATGCGCCTGCTGTATTTATATGGCACCATCCACCAAATCTTTGAATTAGGTATTCCACTTGTCACGTGTATCATACCACATAAAATAGGAAGTAAAGGGAAACCGCCATAGCTTAGAAGGGGCAGGCCAAGAAGCGACGTCATCTCGCACGCTACACCCGGAAATGACGTTATACACCCAGGACACAGTCATCACGCATGCCTATGGAGAGGATAGCCGAGACTCCTATGTGATTATAACGATATGCAAATTTTTGAGTAGACTGTATTATTATAATATCAAAAGTATTATAAGGTTTTACGCTTTACTTGCTCTTTTATGTGGTATGATACATGTGACAAGTGGAATACCTAATTTAAAGATGTGGTTGATTGTGTCATATAAATACAGCAAGCACTTTATGACTGACCTGTCCTGGGTGGTCATAGTTATCTGGTGAGTTCTCTGTGCTGGTGGGGAGGAGCACTGGAAAGTAGCACAAGAACATAGGGTGATGTTATTTTGAAGAATGCATGGAAGCACCTTTTAGTGATTAACTTTCACGAACACTTTGTTAGCCACTTAGTGGCATAAAATATATTATTTAGTGGACTTTTTCTTCATTTTGATATTATTTAATGTGGTTTGTTTTTATTGTTGCACAGTGATTTATTGTACTTTATTTGTAGCACACAGCGCTGTAAAGATTTAGTTTGGTATTGTAGAGTGTAGGGGCACTTTGATTACAGCCACTTTTTTGTGCACATATGCATTCAATCTAGCGCGCATAACATAATATATGTAGAATGTATAGTTGACTCAGTGACAGTGAGCTTCCCAGTCCCTGAAGTAGGAAAGCAATCCCAAACCACAACATTTCCTCCACCATGCTTCACACAATTGTTAAGATATAATAGAGGGCAGCTAATAAACATACCTTTAGGAAGGACCACACATTTTTTTCAAAGGCATTTTTGGCTTCATCGATCTTCTTTGGCAGTACTCTAGAAAGGCACCAGTACTGACCACATCCTGTAACTTGTTAGAGCGGCTGAGGAACTCCTGTTCTGTCACCACCTGACTGACATAGACATTGAAGTGTTGAGCTTGTGGATGCTGTTGCGTTGGCTGAGTTTTCTCTGCCTCAAACGTTACCAGCTTACCACCAAACTGTGTAAAGAAAGAGAGATAAAAAAGGAGTCTTAAAACATATACAAGGGGGCTTAAACATGCAACTTCTAGTGCACCAAAAAAACTAATTTTTAAGATCAAGAACGAAAGATACTTTGGATATTTTCCTCTGAAACCTTCATAAAGAAGTAAATATACTTTGCCCAAAGATTTTGCTATGGTCCACATCTGGAAAGCAATCACACATCTCACCATGCCAAAAATCTCAGAATTACACTGTAAATTTGCTAAAGACGTTTTCTTGCAGGTGGTCTGAAATCTTTTCAGTTCGAAGAAAACATCGACTTTTGTCATCACTGCATAGTTTCAAAGACTGGCTATAAAAAAAAATTACGTTTTAATTGCTAGGGAGTCTAAAACAACTACTGATTACTAGTTACTAGATAAAAAAAAAGTTGCACTGGACATCCAGTTGCATGACCCAACAATTAGACTTTCCTGTACCCTTGATGGTTGCCTTAAAGAAAACCTTTGAGAGGAAAAACATGCCTGCGAACACTGCATGGCTATTATGCTGATCTTCTCCTTCATGATCATGTAAAAGTAAAACTATAAGTGGGTGCTTACATACCTTATAGAAACCCTGCACTTACTCTCCAAATACCATAAACCAAATAAAAATGAAAAGGAATAAAAGAAATATGGCGCCTTTCCTCCAAGCTAAATTACTACCTGTGCAGAACCATAATATTCACATAATGCCAAAAGTGAAATGCAAATATGATGAAACCTTATGTACACCTGCACCATATAGGTGCGTTGAAATATTTTTGTAGCTGCCCCTTTAAGAGCACCTAGTGGTGCTCCTAGTTGTGAAAGTGAAACAATAAATTGGCGCTTACACTCCTCACAAACACCCCGCACTCAATCTCCAAATACCATAAACCAAAATAACAAACAACCAATGGTGCTACATGCAGTCCAACACCAATATGGAAATACTGTTTCTGTGCCACCAAATCTTCCCAAAGTGCTTCACCTCTTGTGTCACCACAGTGCACTCACTAAAGATCCATGAGCCTCTTATTTGTAAGAATAGGTCATAAGGCGCTGTTAGCCCCAGATGCTCTCCAACTGATGTTCCTCACTCTTCCTCCAATCATCACTTGTCCTATGTACCCAATGTTTCTCCATCAATGTCACCCAAGGACCACAAAAGCAGAGTCTCTCATTGTGCAGTATTTAATTAAAACTTGGCAATAAAAAGTATTACATTTGACACTTACAAAACATGGTGCCCAATATCTCAGCACCAATACACTCAGCGCCTGTGCACTGCCGTTCCACTTCCTGGACCTCGCCATGAGTTCCAAATACCAGAAACCGGGGTGATGAAGGGATATGGCCAGAAAAACCGTAAACAGCCTCTACATGTTTCGTCGTGTGGCATCCTAAAGAAGTCAGCCATGTTCCCATAGATATATATAGTATGCCCTGGTTACTGATTGATCAGAGAAAATTGGTCTCCAACAAAATGGATTCTATACGGTTTTCCGGTTCTCATAAAAACTGAAGATCGTTGTATGAACTAGTGCCGACATTTACACATCCAATATCATACATGAATATATAAAAAACTATTGAGAAAATATATGTTTATTAAGTATAAGCTATTAACCTGTGTGCAGGCAGAGTTCATATGGTTTCTTCATGCACTGAGCAACCATACCTCATTGGTTCCTCCACCAAAGCACAAATGCCATCTAGTGTTCAATATAGAGATGACCACCTAAATGCACTAGTAATTTTGTAATCAACATCTAAAATCCCTGCTCCCACACTAAATTTCTCTAGTATCACCAAAAATCTAAATCTAAAACCTTAAAATTGAATGGATGAAAACCTACTTAAAATCCCCCTAGAAGCCCCCTATTAAACCCCTTATTATAATCTATTGGGGGTAAAACATATTTCCTTTTACTGAATTATTAGGTTTTGGCTTCTAAGTCTGCCCATTCGCATTTATTCTTCACTTTAATGCCCTACAGGAAGCCCCCCACTATTTCTCCATATGGACCCAATCGTGTTCTCAGCCCCAGAATACCTAGTATTGGCTATTCCTTTTCAAAAATCAGTAGGGAAGCAATTTAAAGCTATATCTATATTTAACCCTTGTGGTGCCAGATAATCCAATTCATATATCCATCTTGTTTCATTTCGTAAAATTTCTTTCACAAGATCACTTCCTCTCCAATGCCTGGTTACCTTAACTATACCTATAAAGCAGTGGTTCTCAACCTTTCTAACGCCGCGACCCCTTAATACAGTTCCTCATGTTGTGGTGACCCCCAACCATAAAATTATTTTCGTTGCTACTTCAGAACTGTAATTTTGCAGTGGGAGGAATAGTGCCCCATCATTGGTATCAGTGGGAGGACTAGCGCCCCATCATTGGTATCAGTGGGAGGAATAGTGTCCCATCGTTGGTATCAGTGGGAGGAATAGTGCCCCATCATTGGTATCAGTGGGAGGACTAGCGCCCCATCATTGGTATCAGTGGGAGGAATAGTGTCCCGCCATTGGTGTCAGTGGGAGGAATAGTGTCCCGCCATTGGTGTCAGTGGGAGGAATAGTGTCCCGCCATTGGTGTCAGTGGAGGACTAGCGCCCCATCACTGATGTCAGTGGGAGGAATAGTGCCCCATCGTTGGTATCAGTGGGAGGAATAGTGCCCCATCGTTGGTGTCAGTGGGAGGAATAGTGCCCCATCATTGGTATCAGTGGGAGGAATAGTGCCCCATCGTTGGTATCAGTGGGAGGAATAGTGCCCCATCGTTGGTATCAGTGGGAGGAATAGTGCCCCATCGTTGGTGTCAGTGGGAGGAATAGTGCCCCATCATTGGTGTCAGTGGGAGGAATAGTGCCCCATCATTGGTGTCAGTGGGGGGAATAGTGCTCCATCATTGGTGTCAGTGGGAGGAATAGTGCCCCATCATTGGTGTCAGTGGGAGGAATAGTGCCCCATCATTGGTGTCAGTGGGAGGAATAGTGCCCCATCATTGGTATCAGTGGGAGGAATAGTGCCCCATCGTTGGTGTCAGTGGGGGGAGGAATAGTGCCCCATCGTTGGTGTCAGTGGGGGGGGGAGGAATAGTGCCTATCATTGGTGTCAGTGGGGGAGGAATAGTGCCCCATCGTTGGTGTCAGTGGGGGGAGGAATAGTGCCCCATCGTTGGTGTCAGTGGGGGGAGGAATAGTGCCCCATCGTTGGTGTCAGTGGGGGGAGGAATAGTGCCCCATCGTTGGTGTCAGTGGGGGGGAGGAATAGTGCCCCATCGTTGGTGTCAGTGGGGGGAGGAATAGTGCCCCATCGTTGGTGTCAGTGGGGGGAGGAATAGTGCCCATCGTTGGTGTCAGTGGGGGGAGGAATAGTGCCCCATCGTTGGTGTCAGTGGGGGGAGGAATAGTGCCCCATCGTTGGTGTCAGTGGGGGGAGGAATAGTGCCTATCATTGGTGTCAGTGGGGGGAGGAATAGTGCCCCATCGTTGGTGTCAGTGGGGGGAGGAATAGTGCCCCATCGTTGGTGTCAGTGGGGGGAGGAATAGTGCCCCATCGTTGGTGTCAGTGGGGGGAGGAATAGTGCCCCATCGTTGGTGTCAGTGGGGGGGAGGAATAGTGCCCCATCGTTGGTGTCAGTGGGGGGAGGAATAGTGCCCCATCGTTGGTGTCAGTGGGGGGAGGAATAGTGCCCCATCGTTGGTGTCAGTGGGGGGAGGAATAGTGCCCCATCGTTGGTGTCAGTGGGGGGAGGAATAGTGCCCCATCGTTGGTGTCAGTGGGGGGGAGGAATAGTGCCCCATCGTTGGTGTCAGTGGGGGGAGGAATAGTGCCCCATCGTTGGTGTCAGTGGGGGGAGGAATAGTGCCCCATCGTTGGTGTCAGTGGGGGGAGGAATAGTGCCCCATCGTTGGTGTCAGTGGGGGGAGGAATAGTGCCCCATCGTTGGTGTCAGTGGGGGGAGGAAATAGTGCCCCATCGTTGGTGTCAGTGGGGGGAGGAATAGTGCCCCATCGTTGGTGTCAGTGGGGGGAGGAATAGTGCCCCATCGTTGGTGTCAGTGGGGGAGGAATAGTGCCCCATCGTTGGTGTCAGTGGGGGGAGGAATAGTGCCCCATCGTTGGTGTCAGTGGGGGGAGGAATAGTGCCCCATCGTTGGTGTCAGTGGGGGGAGGAATAGTGCCCCATCGTTGGTGTCAGTGGGGGGAGGAATAGTGCCCCATCGTTGGTGTCAGTGGGGGGAGGAATAGTGCCCCATCGTTGGTGTCAGTGGGGGGAGGAATAGTGCCCCATCGTTGGTGTCAGTGGGGGGAGGAATAGTGCCCCATCGTTGGTGTCAGTGGGGGGAGGAATAGTGCCCCATCGTTGGTGTCAGTGGGGGGAGGAATAGTGCCCCATCGTTGGTGTCAGTGGGGGGAGGAATAGTGCCCTATCGTTGGTGTCAGTGGGAGGAATAGTGCCCCATCGTTGGTGTCAGTGGGAGGAATAGTGCCCCATCGTTGGTGTCAGTGGGAGGAATAGTGCCTATCATTGGTGTCAGGGGGGGAGGAATAGTGCCCCATCGTTGGTGTCAGTGGGGGGAGGAATAGTGCCCCATCGTTGGTATTAGTGACACAAATGATGGGGCACTATTCCTCCCACTGACACCAATGATACTTACCTTGCTGACCCCTGCTCCAGCCTGGGCTCGCTCTCTCCCTCTCCCATCTACAGCCTGCAGAAGCAAAATTTGCACTTACCTGTCAGCTGTCTTCCTTCTCTGGCCTCTCTCCTCTTCACTCGGTCCTGCAGCTCCCTCGATCTTCTTCGATCTGCGCGCTCTGCCGCTCGGCTCCTCCTCTCCAAGCTCCACCTCCTCGCCGGTGATTGGCCGCCTGTGTGCCTCTCCTGAGCTACAGTTCCGGTGGCCAATCAGCGGCGAGGAGGCGGAGCTGTTGAGTGATCCCGGAGGTGTGGCCAGGTTACAGGGGCAGCATATCATC